ATGTTCTCGAACCAAAGGCAAAGTGATTACTACTTAACACAGAGCTGTCCTTTCATCAAAATGTACAGAAATGTGAGACTATCATCGTGTTCTCTGAGGGGCTGACCTAATTACAATCTTTCACAATCACAATAATTGTCCCTGGAAATGTTTACCATACACACACAGATATATTCCCCTCAAAGAATATGCAAGATCATGTGTAAGTGATTCATGAATGCAAGCAGGTACTTAAGTTTCTACTTAATGGTAAGTGTTTTTTATATCCAATAATATGGTTAAAAATTACAATTTTTTTAATAGTGAAAAGAGGATTAAAATTTGTCTAATTTTTTTTTTCTTGAGAATTTATGCAAAACCAGCTCTGCTACTCCCTCAAAACATATCTCTTCAAGTATATCTTTTTATTAAAAAAAATATTCTTATAAAAAATTGTATTAATGATGAAATAAATTGATCTTAAAATTAATATTGCTATTTAAATGTCGGTGCTCTTTTTACTCTATGTTCAATATAAAATACAATTACACCTATGTTTAAAATAATATAATACTGTTATTTTTTCCATTGGATTAAAAAATGTGATTGCTTGATTGACTTGCTCTGCTTGGGATTATGGCTATAAAAAGTGCAGCAATAACTTAGTGGTAAGGGTGCCTATCATCAAACCCTAAAGTCCTTGGTTCAAATCATAAAAGATACCAGGATTTTTACCATGACTAAAACACATCAATTTTTTAAGCTTTATAGATACATGATTTTAAGCTCTGTTCAAACATACTGTATTAGTTTGGGATAAATTCTGTGCTGTACCCCAATCTCGGCAAGATGATGTAATACTAATTTTATACCAAAATTATAAGCATACTATAGTTATTTATCACATCAAATCTGAGAGGGTGAAAAAAGATTTACAATCATCATTCCATCCTATAACTGATGTGTTAGACTTGCCACAAGTCTCTAATTATAGGTTTTCCTAGTATTAGCTAATTTTGGGGAGCGCCACCAGCGACGGTATATATCGAGAAACTTTTATGCGAATTAGAAAAAGTATACTATGAAACGCCAAGCAAATAGGTAATATGGAACGCCATTGGTGCCAAAATCGATTTAAAGACAAAGATTAGGGACTGGAGCCCAGTCTACTGATGTGTGTTCATGTGTTGGATGTAAAAGAAAGATGCAATATCTCCATTAATTAAAGACCACCTACAATTAAAGACCACCTACAATTAAATATCACTTTTCTGTGGTTGACCAGGTCCCAAATGTCTGTTATATTTATTATTCTAATTAGAGACTAAACCTGCTAAAAAAAAATGAAAACTCCAGTCTCAAAAGTGGTCTTAAATTGGAAGGAGACCTGTACTATGCACTATGGAAAAAATCAAATTAATATATAATGTACCCTGTATAGGATTAGCTCTATGGAAGTTTAGAAACTTTTTGAAACTTTCAGATAGCATTGGTACAAAACAGGGATACTGTACACCTGCTGTTGATTACTTAATGATGATTTATCATAAATAATCAAAATATATTATCTTCATCATCAACCTACAATGACAAATAACACTACAGTATATAAACAAACAACACCTTTATGAATTTATATACACAAACATATTTTTCATAGGAACCTTGGCATGACACACTATAAGACCAAGTTAACAGCATATTTCAACTTCAATATCAAAATTATTGCACGCATTCCTTTACATGCATATTTTCTACCTCAGAAAATATACCACCTAAAAAAATACATAGAACAAAATAGTGAATAAGAATCATTGTTTGTATCAAAGCTAGAAGTGCTTATATGCGCGTCACAGCTTAACTCCCAATGAAGAGCTTGAATAAGGACATTATGCTTGTATGCCCAAAACAAATACCGAAAAGGATTTGATAAGATTCCATAGTTATAGAGCAAATATCGGTATGTTTTGTAACTCCCTAAACCAAATAAAATTATTGAAGGACAACCAGTCATCCACGATACCAGAGTAATTAGCTCTAATTAAGTGTTAGAAAGCAAGACTGAATCTTAAAGGATTACTATACAGTCAAAAGAAGTCTTTTATCCTTGGCCACGCGCATCTGTATGCAAATGAGGCAAACTTCTGTTGAATCATCAGCATAGAATAAAAGATTTTTTATTTAAAATCACTGATGCTTCTGTAATGTTGCACGCGTCGCAACATTATTGAGCTAGTCATTAGGGACCCTTGATGCTCTAATCACGCGTCTTTCTATACTTGAGCAAAAGATTGAACCTACAAACCATGACTCATTCCAGGCTTGGAGAAGTAAGAATCCATCCCCAGAACAACTTTTCTTTCTCGGTTGGGAAAAGGATCAAACACAGGTACTTTCTTGCCTTGGGTAAACAGAAGGATTTAAGACAGGAACTACAGAAAGTTTCTTTTAAGTTTGATGAAGAGAGGATCAAGCCAAACCATGATTTTCTAAGGCTTGAGGAAGGGAAGAATAAACCACATTTGTTCTTCAAAAAAAAATTCTTAATCTCTGTGTTAATAGTAATTTAATCCCACCAATATTAGATAGTATACTGTACTATACAGTAATTATAAATCATGTAGTGATTACATAACTTTGACTAGTTACCGTAAGTATAACAATGGTACATATATAGTAAGTACAGCAAATATATAGTAACATTATAGTTTGTACAGTACTTTATTAATATTCTTCTTATAGACATAATAGTTTGTATAATTGTGTTATTGAACATGCTTCTTCTGTAAACTATTGTTTATTATTATACAATCCATAGAGGGCCTCCTCCCCTGTCAGCCTCTCAACTGTACAACCTTTAGGTGTTTGGTCATAATCTACCATGGAGGAAATATATTTCCTCCATGAATCTACTGTTATTGACAATAAAGCACCTAATGGCAATGAAATAAGATGATAGTTATGCAATGTACAGATAATTGACATATTGAATAATAATATACACTCCATTAAACCCTGATGCAGTAATAATCTGTGATTATGTGCAAGTATAAGATCCAAAAATAAATCTGAATAGAAACAATTACTGTACAGTAAATATTGAGTACTATGGTAATATGTGTAGCCTGGTGGTTAAAAGATACCGTATTTATTCAAATAAACTTCCTGGGATATTTACTGTTGAGAAGGGCTTTTGAGGGGGTGTCTATTCGAGGGATGCGTTTATTGTTTTGGTAAAAATTGGATACGTACTCAAATAAATACCCCTTAATTTCGTCTCAATATCTAGAATTCAAATTCAAAATTCAAATTCAAATGACATTTATTCAATCAATGATGGGAATAATAATAGAATACAATACAATACAAATAATAAATCACCATGATTGGGATCATGACTAGAAGTAAAAAACTTGTCTCGTCAGGACCCCCCCGCCCCCGAGGGGAAGAAAAAAAAGAAAAGAAGGGAAACTACCATTATTATTTAATAACTAACGTGGAACTACAACAATTAATTACCGTCAAAAATGTGTTCAAATTGGGTGATCAAAGAGACTACGGTTATAATTTCAACCAAGTAGATAAACATGCAATTCTACTGGAGAAGAACATTAATGGAATGTGTCGACAATGACACTCCTTCCATTTAGGGATGCGTTTATTCTAGGAAAAAATTAACGCCTAGGGGCATTTATTCCAGAGAGGTGTACAATCCCACTGAGGCTCTAGAGGGGGCATTTATTTGAGGCAGGCATTTATTCAAAGTGGGAGGGTACTTGCTTTTTAATTTCATGGCTCTGGGTTAAAAACCCCATGCCAGGATTAAACACTCATTTTCTAAGCATTATAAAACTTTCTGGTGACATTTAGGTACACAAACTGTTTGGTAGCCACTGTGCGTGTACTGACCCAAGGACATCATCCACCGGTATCTAGAAAAATTTGGATTATTTTACGCTGTTCTGAAAAGCTGAATTCAATTTAATAATTTTATTTCACTTGCAATTTACACTACTACTACAATTAAACTATACCCAGGTATAGCAAGCGACAAATCTTTTTAATGAAAGTTCCGATGAGTCGCGGCCGTTGGGGCCCGGGGTTTAGCCTATCTGACACGGCACGGCTAAGCTCCCCTACTCCTTTCTTATTGGCACCACCACTGCATTAACACTCACACGATGAATTCTAGCCGGGGGGGGGGGGGCTGACATCAAGGGAAAAAAATAACCTGAACTGAAGTCCTAGAAAATAGAAGAATGTGCATGGATGAAGAATAAACATGTCACACAGAACAATTTACAGAAAACATGCCTTATTATTAATATAAATGACATGTGAATCAGTATTATACTATTACACCACCCTATTTTTATGATGCCATGATGGTTTAAGCCTGGTGTAACAATAGCTAACAACAATATTCATATTTAGGCCTAGCATAGCCATAGGGCTAGCCTAGGCATAAGCCTATTTTTAAATTTAAATGTAGTAGGAAGTAGTATTACTTTATACTACTACTTATTGAATATGGGAAGCCAATACTAAAAACAACTATATTTTGATAGGTTATAGCTCTGAGTAAGGCTAGGCCTCTTATATTATCATCATCGACTGCTTAAGCTAAAGATGTTGGAGGAGATCTTCCTCTGGCTAGGTGTCAAAATTGACAAGCTTGACCCTTCTTTAGTGTCAGGCCTACATTTCAATTTAAGAAATAAGTTCAAAAGACTCTAAAAACTTAAAGAAATTAATACCAAACAACGATAAATTAGATAAGGAAAAGTATTAATCACCATTATGCAGTGTAACATTAAATACTCTCAGCGGTTCTAACTTCAACAGTAATACTTGTTTTGTAATTCTCGTTGTATACTTCTGGTGGTTGCCTGAACATTTTACGATCTTTGGAAATCGTAAACTTTTTGGAAAAAGCTATGAGGGCGCTGTTCAGATTATAAGCTACACAAACTAACTATCCATTTCCTGGATCTGGCGCGCGCTACAAATAAGTAGCTGTAGAAAGAGGTTGCTATGGATAGGATAATAGCTTTAATTGATATGGACTGCTTTTACGTTCAAGTTGAACAACGTCTAAATAATTCATTAAGAGGAAAACCATGTGCAGTAGTGCAATATAATCAATGGAAAGGTGGAGGGTAAGTGAGAAACCAAAAAAAACTTTCTTGTCGTGTGGGCTGGTTTGAATAAATAAATGCGTTGGAGCTGTAAATTTAACGTCATTATTTCCGGTTTATCGTTTTGTAGCAGGAAACTATGTTTCTTGGATAGTCAAGAGTGATTATGCAAAGCAATAATGAACCCATAAAGTGCCTAATTTTTATCTTCAGCGTTTGTGGAAGATGTTAAAAAACATCTGTACAATCATTTCACCTTTAAATTATCGTAAGCATTCAACCAATCCTAGATAGTATAGTGGTGAGTATCTCCGCCTGTCACGCGGAAGACCGGGGTTCAATTCCCCGTCTGGGAGGTTATTTTTTTTTTTTTTTTCAAATTTTAAAATCACTGTTCTATTTTTTTTGGAAATGACATTTCCTCATATTTTTGGGTTAAATACCTTGGCAATATTAAAATTATTCATGTTGAAAATAATTAATATAACAAATTTGATTTTATCTCATTTATAGTTTTTATACTAACTTCAACACCATTTAACTATATTTCATATTACTGTTTACTGTATTTATGTGGGATGTTGAACCTTGGAAAAATAATTTCATGTAAACCATTTTACATGACAATTAAGAGAAAGGCACATTTTGTTATCTTCCTATAAAATGTTTTTAAATATTTTCCACCATTAAATTATATAGTATATAATAATGTTAAGGATTAAGTAATTTACATAAAAATCTTGCAGGATTATTGCAGTGAGTTATGAAGCCAGAGCATTTGGTGTAACCAGGCAGATGAGAGGAGACGAAGCCAAGGACAAATGCCCTGATATTCACCTAGTCCAAGTCCCTGAGAGCAGAGGCAAGGCAAACTTAGACAAGTAGGCCTAATAATCATTTTACTCTTTGTATTGTTTTAATGTTTTAATACTTTAATATTTTGTGTTTAACCATATTGTAATACCGTCTTTTTTTTTAAAGTGTTTTCTTAGCAACTAGCAAAACAAATTTCATTGTTCACTTGTTTGGTTGATGAAAATAAGTATTCTTGGTTCTCAATATTGTCATTCCAACAAAATACAGGCATTTACCAGGATAGAAAATAAGTCAAATTAGTATACTTTTCTCACACCAATAAATAAATCTGCTAAAATTGCAATTAACACTCTCTAATTAATTAAAAATTTTAAAAAATACAGATTTTATATTTTACTTTTGACAAACACAATACAAAAAAAAAATAAATTGGCAGAGAAAAAAAATCAAAGGACATACTAATTATGTAAGACAAAGAAAAGCCTAAAAACATCAAAATAAAAAATAAATTAGAACCACTCATATCTTTAGGTACAGAGAAGCTGGAGCAGAAGTTATAAAAGTTTTGTGCAAATTCAGTAATTGTGTTGAACGTGCAAGCATCGATGAAGCTTACATCGACCTCACTGAAGCCGTTCAGCAAAGAATGGAAAGAATGCAAGGAGAATCGGTAACGTTTGATATGCTTCCTAACACGCATGTCGTAGGCTGGGATGGTACGGGAGAATCAAGCGAGCGTGCTGATGACCAAGATTCAAAACAAGATGGAGGTGCAGTGCAATGTGATGGTAATATATAACTTATTTGTCAGTCATGAAAAAGGTCACTTCAATCATATTTTTACATTTCCTTAGATTTTAGATGGAATATATATATAATACCTTAGGAATAAACAAACAGCATTACTCATTGCCTTTACCCATTGCCCACTGATAACACCCAGTACCAAAGCACCAGAAACAAACAAATGGATTGAGAGCAGCTTAGCTCAGTTGGATAATCTGGTGGTAGCCACTGTGTGCTGAACCGTGGAGATCTCTATGTCCCCGGTTCAATTCCCATCGCTGCCTCTCCTTGTGTTTCAGCTGGAGGGCTGAAATACAAGTTAAATAGCGCACCGTCTTTCGGATGAGACGTTTAAGCCGTTGGTCCTGTGTGCATTTATGGCCCATGTGCATGTTAAAGAACACAGTACACTCTTCGGAAAAGAGTAGGGGATATAGTCTCCCGGTGTACTACCCAATCACCACCAGAAGGACCCCACTGCAAATAAGTCTTCTTCTAGACTTTTGTGGGCTATTCTTGGTGTTTACACTGAAGAAATCCAATCCAATCCAACAAAATGCTACTCTACCTAACCATAAAATGCTCTTGGAACTTGTATTCTATAATATTGAAGTGCAATAGTTTTAAAGAAATTGTTGAATCAAGTGTTTGTGATACTCAACTACATAGAGTAAGATAATTTCATGTTGTAACCTGCGTTTGATCTGTATTCTTGTTTCAAGAGCAAACAACATAGATTGAATATCTTGCCCAAAGATCCAAGCAGCATGACACAGACTGAGTGAGCCAATCACTGCTAGTAATTATCCTTATCCCAAAATGATCCTTATGTAAATAATGATGACTTTTTTTCCTATAGGCCTAAGCAACAGAGAAGCTGGATTGATACAGTGGTTGGATAATGCTGCTAGTTTGCAGGACAAGAGGCTGGCAGTGGGAGGCTACATCGTAGAAGAAATGAGGGCAGCGGTCTATAACGAAACAAGTTTTAGATGTTCAGGGGGAATTGCTCATAACAAGGTATATCACAACAAACAGATCCAAAGACCTAGAATTGATTATCTGAGTTATCTCCCTCCCTGATATTTGTGCTTCATCCTTGTGGGAATTATGTTTTCAAACTCTTCTTCTTCCCACAAATGCACGCATTAGTAACATCAGTAATATCCAAGGGAAAGGTTCATTGGAGGCTTCCGCCCGGTAGCTTGTGTTTTTTTTTAGCTTAATTTTTACTCTTTTCAACACCCCTCAACTACCTTATTGTAGATTATATTTGCTGAAGTATCATGCTTTGGTATTGATAACGATGAAAGGTGGCTACGCCTTAAAGCTATGTGGGTTCTTCTTGCAGAACTTATTGTAGCCTCCTTCCATTCAATATATTTGTTTCAAATTGTGCATTGATGTTATTCCATTTATTTCACTATAAGTACAAATGAATACTATTAGTTTTGAGACCAACAATTCTTGTGTGTCTATAAAAGTTAAACATCCTGAAGTCTACATCTCATGATTGGCAGTGGGTGTAGGCTAACTCATATCCACTTTGGTGAACCTATTCCCAAATTTAGGTCAACTCGTGCCCAACACTACTACTACAGGGCCCCCTCGTTATTATAGTTTTGACGAAGATCTTAAATTTATTGATTTCATTCCTGCTGTATCAAAATCTTCTAATTAGTAAGTTTTTCTTTAATAATATAGTTTCACATGATTACTACCAAAATAGATAATACTCTTCGCTTAATGTTTGAAAGACAAAGGTAGATCTTACACTAAACTTGGGTATGGGTTAGCAAAAAATTATGGGTATGAGTTGTGAGTACAAATTGGCATGGGTACGAGTTAGCCTGAACTCTTGGCAGTGATGTAGCATTTAGCCGAATTTAAATCTAGATATTGTCATTGGCCATTAGAATGTAAAGTGTACTTGTATGTAAGAATGTAGTTATTTTTTTTATTCATTTCAAGTTTCATATTTCTAGATGTTAGCAAAGTTGTGCTGTGGCTTCAACAAGCCAAACAAACAAACCATTACCCCTCATGCCTCAGTGGAAAAACTTTTTCAAACACTTCCTATCAGGAAAGTGTAAGTACAGTTTTATTTTATTTTTCAATTGTTTACAATTTTTAAAACAATGATTTTTAAGGTGATGTTTGAGCAGTCACCATCCTCCACCATTCATATTTGGTCAAATCGTGAATTTAAATTTAATCTAGTGGAAGTAAAATTACCTACTACAATAAGGAACTATTTTTTACAGAGGAATATTAGCATTGCTGATAGTTGTAATTGACATTTTGTTTACGTATAATTTACATTTCAATTTTCCTATTGAAGTCGGCATCTTGGAGGCAAACTTGGACTCTCTTTAGTTGAAGACTTGAACATAGAATTCATGGGAGATTTGTGTCGCTACTCAAAGGTGAACCTTCAAACCAAATATGGAGACAAAACTGGGTAAATATAAATAACAAATATTACATATAAAATCATGTAACATCAGGGGTTGGCCAGTTTCAGTCTCAGGGCCCAGTGTTCAAATCCTGCTACTGTCTAGGCTTGATCTCATGTCAAAAACAAACAGTATATCAAAATCCTTTTATGGAATGTGAAAGAATGGATTTATTAATCTGTAAAGTGTACTTGTCGAACCCAGTAGGGATTAGGAGTTGTTTTTAATTATTGACTGTCATCTCTTATTTATTATTATATAGCTGGTGTTAAATAGAATAAATAAATAATTAAATTAATAAATAAACACTCAGTAACCACCATGAACAAATACATTGTTCATTTTTGTATTTTTAGTTGGATATGAGTGACATTACAATTAAAACCTAATGAAAACCGATAAAGTTTTTCAAGCATTACAATTAAATACATATAAAAATGATTAATTTTTTTTTTTAAATCTTGAATAAATTTAAATATACAGCAAAATATAAACAAATAAAGATAGCTCAGTTGATTTACAATTTAAAGGATATGTTAAGTACTTTTATTCAGACTCAAATTTGTTCGACAAAAAAACTGTTGTATGACCATATATAGTCATGATGAACCCATATATGGTCATGATGTGATGTCATCATGATCATATATTATTTAGTCATGTCATATGTTTTTGTCAAATATAATTTGATAGTGTGGACAGGGGCTTAAGCCAATCATAACAAATGCTAAGAACACAGAGCATGGAATCTAGGGTAAATTTTTAAATTTTGGCAGGGAAAATGCAGGCTCATTGTAAATGATCACATAACTAACTCTTGCACATCCACCTCCCTAAGCAGGTACACAAGACTTCAGACAACCACCTCCCTAAAGCAAGTATTTTCTTATCTCTCCAGAAAATGTGAAGAATTCTTAGGATTTTTGCTTACGTTTGCATTGATACTTTAAAGTAATTAGTTGATAACATTTTAAATTTCAGTTTGTGGCTTTATGAGATTTGCCGGGGATTAGAATATGATGCGGTGAAACAGCGAACGCTTCCAAAATCAATTGGGTGCAGCAAAAATTTCACAGGCAAATCGGCGCTGGACACCAAAGATAAGGTACAACATGTGCATTAATTTTCTTCGAAGGTCATAAGACTCTTTAAAGAGTGTTTTAAAATGATAAGAAATTAAATATTCAGTTGAAATGCTCAATAGTTTGTTTCAATGTTCATAATAGTAAAATAAAAATGTATGATAAACAAATCTGGTGGGTTATGTTTGATGAAAACAACTACAACATAAACTTCCCATCCCCTGCAGGCTTTCTCAGAATGCTTCAGGCGAAAATAATAATAATAATAATAATCATAATAATAATAATAATAATAATAATAATAATTACTTATTTTGTTAGTGAAATGGAAATACCACATACATGTAAATATGTCATCTATTTGCTATTGGTAATCCATAGGCCATGTTTTTATTGACTACCATTTTGAACTTTTGGCCCATCAGAGTAAAAATATAAATAAAATTAATGAACATATTTATATATAAGATTGTTGTCATAATCACAAACATGTTTAAAAAAAGTTATCTATATTCTGTTTATACTTTTTATGTTGCTATAGGCTTGATCTCAAATAAAGTGTAATTGAATTGTATTATCACTGGCTCCAAGAAACTGGTTTAGTTTTGTAGATATCTACAAGGCTAAGCGAAAAATATGTAGCTTAACAAATGTATCTAACATTTGTTTATCTTTAGGTGAAGCACTGGTTGGGTGAACTTGCTAATGAGGTTGCAGAAAGAATTACAAAAGACCAAGAACTGGTAAATTTATTCTTGAATTCATTGCAAAGCTCTGTCCCCATTACTAAATTTTCTATGGAAAATAAATAAAACTGTAAACTTATCTTATGTTAAAAATGTCTTAATTGAACAAGTATCTAGTTTCAAATATCTTGGCATTCATATTCAAGACGATCTGACTTGAAACAACCATATCCATAACATTACAAAACAGGCAATAAATTACTGGGTTTCATCTAGACAGTTCTACACTGTCTGTGACTCTTATACATTAAAAAAGTTATACATTACACTTATCCATCCTCGTCTTGAGTATGAATGCCAATTATTTGATCCTTGTTGTAATATTCATATTTTACAGACTTGAATGTGTTCAAAAATTTGCTTTGAAAATTACCATGGAAAGAATCATATGCCTGTTTGTTTGAAGTCTAATTTATTATTGTTAAAAGATCGTGATTCCTACTTAAAATTGTTAACTTTTTTCATTTTGTTATGTTAATTCATTGTATTCTGGTATCTTAGTTAATCCCAGACTCGCTTAAATCATACTAATTCATTTGTTGTTCCATTTGGACGGACTTTGTCCTTTAAATCAATTTATCCATCCATTATTTTACTTTGGAATAGTCTCCCATAATCAGTGGTAGACTTGAAAATGTACATCCACTTTTAAACAAAATTTAATGGAACACTTTAAAAACTAATCCCCTTTCTGTCTTGCTCACATTTTTCTTTTTCTCTCTTATTTGATGTTGTCTTTAACTTAAGCCTATTTAGGGGGAGGCTTATTGTTAGCCACTAGTCAGACGATATTGTGGCTATCTTGCCTCCCCAGTTTGTGTACCGAACTTTCATAAATAAAATTAAAATAAAATGACAAAAAACTGTTGCATGCCCATATATAGTCATGATGTGCCTATATTTGGTCATGATGTGATGTCATGATGTGATGTCATCATGACCATATTTAGGCATGTCACATGTTTTTGTCAAATAAAATTTGATATTCTGGATTGGCCTTTATTTTTATTGGTAATTTAACTCTCTGGTTGGTGGTTCAATGATATTCTCAGGAAGTGCATCCTCTTTTTTTCAGGGTTCTTGGAAAGAAGCTGAATTTGTAGGTGTCGCAGTTGGTGCTTAGTTACTCATCAATATTTATGTTTCCAATAATAGTTAGTTCAAGAGTCGAGCAGTCAATGCCCAAGGATTTTTTTCTGAATGCTTAATCTTGCATCTTTTCTCACATTAATGTATACATTTTTACTTAAATCCATACAGGAAAAACTACATAAATACTTCAAATAGCTGTGATTATGTCCCCCCTGTGGATTTTCAGCCGTAAAAATCACTATTTTTACCCTGCTTCATACCGACTTAAATTTCCTATAATGTCTTAAATTGTTTTGCTTTAGAATAACAGAGTTCCTAAACAGTTGACGGTTAGCCTACGTCAAGACAAGAAGCCACCAGGCAACATGACGCGGTCGTGTGCCCTCAGTAAAATTGATGGTGAGAGTATGGCGTACGTATCATACATGTTGATACAAAGTCTGAACACAATGGGTGGCAACCAAATGGCCTGGTAAGATGATAAATTAATGCCCTTTTGTGACAAATTATAACCCTCACCTTAACCCTTCCCTTTAAAAATCCTACCTATTCACTAGCCTTTAGGCTAGTGAATAGGTAGAGTACCCCTCCCTTTTACACATTGTATTATAATTTAAAGTCCTGTCCATATTTTATTTGACAAAAACATGTTACATGCCTAAATATGGTCATAATAACATCGCATCATGACCATATATATATATTTGGGTATATTTTATTAAGATAAAAAAACATCGAAAACACAATCTTTGGCAGCATTAAGCTGAATTGTAGATTGGGTAATTACAATAAAATCTATAAAATTTGTGATAAAACTAATAAATGTACAGTATATAAAAATATGACACAGTCAAAAAACACTAAAAATACAAAGAATAAAAAACAATTTTACATCACACTTTACTCCTGAGCTATATATAATATCCAGATTATTCAGACTGGGGGGTTCATCCGCCACAGGACCTCACAATGAATTGAGAATTCGTACCATGTAAGGTATCGGGCTATTTTTGTATCGGGATTTAGTACATTTGTATTCACTATATAGGCACATCATGACTATATATGGTCGTAATAACATCGCATCATGACCATATATAGGCACATCATGACTATATATGGGCATGTAACAGTTTTTTTTGTCAAATAATATCTGATAGTCTGGATGAGGGTTTAGATAGTACCATACATAATATGAAAAAAATAGAGAACATCATAGCTCTATGCCAAGTAATTTTTCAGACTTTTCAGGTTGCATAATGCTGCTGTTTTGAGTTAACTTACTTCCAATGAGGAACAGTCCTTGTTTGATACAAGAACATTTGTTATTCATCATGAAGAATACAACACAAAATTTAGGCATGCAGCATCTTAAAATTTGGAAACATCTACCTAAAATATTCTTTGTTTGGTTGGTTCCATGTTACCAAGATATGAAAATTGGGTAAAATTACTTTAGAAAGTAGAATTTTCGAGAGCACATGTAACAGACAGTGAGACACTCGAATATCACAAACAGCGATTTGAATCTGTAAAATCATGGCATTAATTTATGGCTTGCACTCTCTAGAATTAATAATATGTTTCACATTTGTATTCAAGTGCGCTTGATATGTTCCATATTTGTGTGCAAATGCTGCTTATAACCTCATTCTTCTCTGCTTCCTTTTTTAGGGTACCTCATATCCTTTCACTGGGTATCGTTGCTTCCAAATTCACAGAACTAGTCTCCAGTGGAAACTTAAGTATGAAAGACTTTCTAAACAGTCCATCAAAAATCCCAAACCAGGATGTAACTCTGAAACAACAATTCAAATCACAGAAAAGTGTAGCACCCAAAAGTATTGAGAAATTCTTTTCACCTGTACAGAAAGTTTTTGATCAGGAGAAGGAAGGACATATAAAACAGCAGGATGCAATATCAATAAGTAGTTGTAAAGATGAGATTCCCACAAATTTGTCAAATGATAACGAAAGTTTATGTCTCAATAACGAAGACAATGACGAACAACATATCCATTCCAAAGTGAACGTCCTCTCTATGATACCTGTAAACAATCAATCAAAGTTAATTGAACAGAGTGACATTGGGAATATTGCATCATCATCTAAATCGCTGTTATCATTTTTTTCGCAAAAACATAATCAGGCATCAGTAATGGCTAATACTAATATGGAGGAAACACAGATTGACACGGATGAGATCTGTTCGGAAATTGATAACATAGATGAAGTGCAATGCGAAAAATGTAGCTTAAAAGTTACAGCATGGGATTATCCGGAGCATTTGGATTATCATTTTGCGATGGATTTACAGAAACAGATCAGTGATGAGGGGAGTGCGCCACCAACTTTTGTGCAGGATTCAATGGGAAATACTGGCAAGCGCTGTAGAGTGCAAGAATCAGGTTCTGTTAAAAAGAAGAAGCCAAATGCCACTGCATCAATTGCATCATATTTCACGAAACCTTGATAAAGCTATAAATGACCCAACCAATAATCGATATGGTCCAGTGGTTATAGTGCCTCACAAATTTGAGCTCAAATCATATCTTGCTCATTTTTATTAAGATGTTTACAATGTGAATATCATCTGTATACATCACTCACCCAAATACAACTATCAATTTACATCCTATTTCAAGAAACCTCAATCATTGATATGATCCAGTAGTTATAATAGTGCCTAACAAATTTGTGTTCAAATCATACATTCCTCATTTTATTAAGATGGTTACATTGTGAGTATCACCCATATACATTACTCATGCGAATGAGTAATGAGAATTACCTTTAATTATGATTAATTTACAAGACAGTGTCAAAGTAATTAACTGATTAATAATCATTAGTATTACATTGTTGTCATTCAAAAGGCTTCACCATAAGAATATGTAAACAGTAGCCTGGTGTTAAATGATTTTTGGCAGTGGTGTAAAAACGATTCATGGGGCTGGGGGCTCCATGTCATTAAAATATTTTCACTCACGGAGTGTCCAAGTTGTAGATAATTTCCCATCTAAAAAAATGACTGAAAATATGTCATTTAAGTATTCAACTATTGAGTATTCAACTATAAATCAACTTGTTATCCCACAAAAATCACCGATAGTGCATTGTCATTCATTTGATATTTTTTGGTATTTGATATTGGCGGAAGCCTCTTTGAGGCTCCATCCATCGTTTTTTATTAAATTTATTTATAAGGCAACATTCAAACAGTAAAAAATAGACCTTTTTGACTGGATTCCTGGGCTTGTCCTCTAGAGCTAATTGGTGTTAAGCCACTGATTTTTTTCCAGTTTGGAAATAGTTGCACCATTCCTGACTATGAATCAATCACCAGATAAAAAAAATATTTTGAAATGAAACACAATTCTATGGCCTTGTGTTTGGTATTGTATTGTTCAAGTCAAATATGTCTTCAATGCCATCCAACATGTTTTGATATTTTTTCAGCTACTACCTCAATTGAAATCATTAAATTTAATCTATCCTGAAATGAAAAGAGAAATGAAACATATGGTTATACTTGTTTACTATGAAGGAATATTTAATGAATTAATATTATTTATCATACAAGATTATTATTGTTTTTGTCCTTATCTTCCAATGGCAATGAGCAAAATATTAAATTAATTGTATTTTGGTAATTGACAATATATACAAAGTAAGAATTTTTATAAATAAATTATCATTTCAAGCCAGTGATCTGTAACCCTTCCATTTACAATGATTCTGCAATACTAATTTACTTTATATTGTTAACAATAAATATTTGCTAACTCATTCAGTTTTATGGTGTGTCATGTTATTGATTTTGTAAATACTTTATTTTGTAATACCGGATAAAAACACTTGAGTTAATGACAGATGTCCATTTAAGGTGATAAACATTTTCCTCATAGATTACCAACAGTGGTGAATCCAAGAATTAGAAATAGAAGGGCCCAGGGAGGGACTTGCTTAAATGTTGTGTCTAGACCACCTCAGATCCACCCATGCTTGGGGCTGAGGTAAGAAAATTTATGATTATTACACCTCTAGATGGCCGGAAATTTAAATATAATTTTCCTTTTTTTCCATTTTTTTTAAGTGGGGGCTGGTCTTACCATTTTTGATTGGTTGGCAAAGTCCTGGTGGGTGTCTAGGGTGCAAAGCCTAGTTTCTTTAACATCACTACAAAGTCAATTTAAAGTCGCTACAGTGTTTTCAGTGCTATCATTGCACTGCGCAGCAGTCCCCCACGCAATCTGGAAGGCTCCCCTATTCGATCAACCAATCGGCATCACCAAAAGCTGTCGGTGATTGCGTGTAGCGATTATATGAAAACAAGTTTAAGGCCCTGGCGCATGGAGAAACTTGGTGATTTTTGGGCCGTATTATTGCCATATTAATATATTACACACGCACACATATATATCTGTCTCTTATACACATCTAGATGTGTATAAGAGACAGCAATGACGAACATCTATTAGAGGTAATACGACAACCATTCATAAGTGATGGGTGTTGTATTCATATGTTGTGTTCATTATATGCAAGCTTCTAGTTAATTTCCATAATGGGATGTTTTACCCGGAAATTCGTGGTTTAGTTGAGATTCCACTGTCTAGATTTAACAACTTCTTTCCAACGATTTATCAATAACCACAATGTTTTTCAAGGAATGTAACATATTTATTGAGAGGTCCTTTAATGTTTAAATCTCCTACATAAAGAAATGATATGCTGGTATTAATTTAGTTTATCTTTTCCCTTTGTGGAATAAAAAAATTAAAGCAACCATGCAGAAAGTTAATGCAATTTAAATTGCTTTCTTAGTGTATCTTTTTGGCTTGTATTTCAATACTGTAATTCAAATTTTATGCCTTTTTACAAGGCTGTCTGGCCCCTGTTTTGAAGTAGCATCTCTCCATACATTCAGGCGTCCCAAGATCTGTTTAAATGAGCTTCCTTGACATATTAAATTGCACATAGCGATACCCATCAGCACTGATTTCCATGAGACAATTGATAATAAAGTAGTAAAAACATGCAAATATTATAAATTTGCGGGATATGGGTTATTTTCCGGGAAATTTTTGCGGGAGTGCGGGAGGCTGCCCAGATTTCCGGGAGACTCTTGAGACTTCTTCACATTACACATTCACTGGCAGTAAGAATTACAGTAATATGTCAGACACACCTTTAATTTCCTCATCAATAAAATAAGAAAATATTTTTTGTCTAGTCTATGACACAGTCTATTATCTGAGTATGTCAAGGATATTATAGCCTTTTCATCTTTTCAAACAAGTATTATCCATATACATAATCTTGCGTATCTAATTTATGGCAAGAAAATGAACAGTACTTTAAATGATTGTAGAATTAAACAGGTTTTCCTCTAAGTAAAGACTCCTCCATTTAAAGACCACCTTTTGGTGGTCCCATATTAAAAATGTCATTTTTATTATTCTAATTAGAGACTCAAAGCTGATAAAGACCATGGGGGAAAAAATGTCTTTAATTAGAGGGAGACCTGTATTTAAAAAAAAAATTAACATTTGTTGATACAAGTGTTTTACTCAAGATCCAGCAAACAATGAAGATGGAAAATCATGACGAATGTATTTATTAATTCAATAAAATCACCTGTAATTTATTACAGGACATGATAACCAGTCATTTCTGGCAAGATAAATACATTTGGACAATTGTTATTGAAGATTTTAAAATCTGTATAAATTTATGACAATCATAATTAACTTGCATCCCCACATTTATCCGTTCTTCATACACTTTTTAAAGTATAATCATCCCGAGATCTTCATCTTTCACATTTGAACAAATCCGCTGGAAAGACCTGTCCAGACTATCAAATTTTATTTGACAAAAACATGTGACAAGCCTAAATATGGTCATGATGACATCACAACCATATATAGGCACATCATGACTATATATGGGCATATAAGTTATTTTTTTATCAAAGAACATCTGAGAATCTGGACAGAGCTGTGATTATTATCTGTATTCTATACATAAGCCCGTAGGAAGGATTTTTAAAGGGGGTTTCACAAAAGGGCACTTTGAGTCCACATCCAACTCTACCCCACCACCATGGTTGGGTTAAATTTTTTAAATATAACACCCAAATAAAAATTCTAAATTTCAAATATTTGGAGTTAATTTCAAAAACTTTCATGCAAATGATATTTTTTCAGTAATGATTTAAAAGGGCATTGATGGAAAAGTGGGGTTCTTTCGAACCCCCCAACCCCTGCTTGTTATATTCTTTTTTAGGCTTGCAGAACTTCTAACATTCTGATAAACAAAGGATCAACAGAAAGCAAAGCTAACACTGCATTGGCTCCAGGTTTTGTGAGTGATTGACAATGTCATGTCTATTGCTGATTATCAGTGGCAGTGTGAATGAATGGAAATCATGCCTGCCTTTTCAAATTACAGTCTCCATCCAATCATTCAGCCAATGCAGACCATCACTTACCATTTCTCGATATGCTTTGGTTACATTTTTATACTCCTCATTATTTTAAAGCAAGAATTCTGCATTTTCACATCTGATGTAATCTTTTTCTTCTGTTACCCTCCCGATCTTAAGTTCACAAGTAAGCAGTTTTTTAAATCCAGTATTATTAAACATGCTCTACACAAAATTGCAACAACCAGTGATAAGTTAAAAACAATACAGGCTTTTATAACCCTTATGAGAAAATATTTTTGATCTTTTTTATGGTACAAATTATTTACATAAAATTATATCATGGGATTCAATGCATGATAAAAAAAAAAAACCAGCTAAAATCCGGATTAAAATATATCTGCCGAGTTTTTTTCTGTGCGGATTAAAATCTGCACTGAGGGATTTAGTGCCCACCAATTAAAAACAAAGTAGGACTTTCGGAAGACTTGTCCAGCTGATTACTCAAATTAATTAAAATTTATAAAATAAAGTAACAGGGTAAAGGAGCTATACTACTCGTTTGATTGTATATAAATATTTTTTGCTAAACTTGTTAGAAATAAAAACATACTCTAATGATCATACAGTATATTTACAGACAATATTTCTATTAATTTTTTTTTATATTATTCAAAATACCACACAACTAAAACAGTACACTTCACATGTAAATAGAAACTTTTGCAAACATTTAACAATTGTACCGAATCTGACGTTGGTTGATAGCCTACTGTACATAATATGTCTGCAGTGCATTATTGATAAAATGTGATATCCCTTTACATATTTTAAATAATATTCATATGTATTCCAAATTCACTTTTCATATGCTATTATATACCTCCTTCAAATGATAATTTACAATAAATCCACACTCATCTAAAAAGTTAAACATTCTGAATGGTCAAAAAATGTACAGTGTGTTGGATTATCATAGACAAATTAGCCTATCATGTCTTACTGTGTCCCTATGCCTAGGGTCTGTTGTAGAGTGTATGCCTACTATTTTACATACCTACTATAACCGTCCCAGTCTGTAAGTTTTAATTTGGCACTTTGTATTAGATCCTCATAAATTCTTTTGAAGAATTTAGACTGGAGGTACCATTAAGGTTGGTTACTTCCCTGGGACTTATAACTGTGTAGTACTCTACTATAATATTTTCAAGCCCAGCCTCTGTTAATGTACAAAGAATATCTAATGTGTTTTAAGACTGTTGTTTGCTATTTACAGTATACAAGTGTTGCCATAATTGTGGTCTATAATGCTTTTTAATCAGCATTGTCTGAAAGAACTTGATTTCTCTGTAAACAGCAATAAAGGGTATATATTAAAGTTTTTATAAACCATTGCTAAGAAAATGCCTTTAGATATTAAAATAAAATTTAAAATCTTTTGTTACAATTATTTGTATAAAAATGATAAATCAATACACATACAGTTTTTCCTTGCTTTTTTAAAGACTAAAATAAACCAAGGTATTTTATAAATGATTCTATATAACAAGGTAGATCTGAAAATATTACAAGAAAATTCAACAAAATAAACATACCCTGAAAATATCCTGAAAGATCAAATTATGTCCAAGATTGGGACCCTTTAAAAGACCTCAAAACTATCTTGCGCTCGTCATGCTTACATGCATCTCATGCAATCTGTCTTTCTTTAATTTAAACTTAAAAAATAAAAGTAAATTATATAATCTCAGCCCAGCTGAGGTCCATGTCTATTTACACATCAACAACATTGCCCGAGAATCCTAAGGACCACTCCCTAACAGTTTTATAATAATAAATTATTTCTGTACAACTTCTGTTTTCTAAGTTTTATGCAGCATACGCTAGGTTTGTTAAACTCAGCACTTATATTTGGCAGCCACATTTATAAGACAGCCATTTTTAAACACAATACATAATTTGTCTATTTTGCATATCATTCTGATATCTAGAGGGATTATTATATTTTTTATGCAATAAATAATTGTTTTTACATTTATGATGACTGGTTGTCAATATTCAGCCTTTCTTTCTTTAGCATAAAAAGGATCAATATTATTCATTAAATAATTCTTTAATTTATACAACACATAAAGTCACAAAGACCATTTACTGAGTATTTCTACAAACACTTGAACCATATTTCATAGAATATTAGTTTTTTTGGCATTAATACAAATATGCTTTAAAAAACATTATGTCGCGTAACATTTATGACCTTACATAGTTTGGCATAATACTTCTGATAACAATTTTTGCTGTAAATTTGCCCATCAATGCTATTATTCGTATGTCATTTAAATTTATCAGAATATAATATTATATATCATATTTTTAAATCAAAACTATTCATGCTTATTCATGGATAAATAGTAGATCAGTTGAGATAAAGAGGAGTACATAAGATATATACCAAGGCCATATAGATACCAAGGCATTAAACATTTACAAATACTGCAAAAAAAAAATCCAATTTGTGAACATTTGAAATTCAATGTTGAGTCAAAAACAATGGAAATTTTAAGAAGTATGTCGCCCTCTAACACAAAATACTTGTACCTGTTGATTTTCATGTGTACTTAATGATTTTAAATGGCAAATGTAACTGACAACTACCAAGAAAATATTACAGAAAACCACATAAACATAAAAGTAGAACAATTATAAATTAAGATGCCTTTTGATAAATTCTTTTTTTTTCTTCAAATTTAAATAATAAATTATTTTTATGGCTTTGTTTTAACAGCATTGGATTTATTTCAGAGCGATTATTTTTGGTCACTTTTTTGATCTCTGACATATTTCACCTTGTCTCGTCAATTTCCCCTCATTGACTCTCATTGCCCTCTCACTGCTCAAATGTCCCTTTTTACCAAGGTCTTGATTTTTCTCATTGTTCATTCTGTCGACTCCTTTCTTTTATTCATTTCTTTCTTCTTCATTCCCTTTTTCCTTAGACTTTCGAGTCCTCCTGTTTGTGTAGAGTATCCATCTGGTCAAATATAAATGAAAGCGTGTGCCGTTTGATAGAGTCTATATTGCTCTGAAGTTGCCTGTTTCGCTCTTTATAATTCTGGTTTTCGAGTCTTAGTTTTTCATTCTCTGAGGCAAGATAAGCTTTTTCCTGAAAAGAAAATTTAATTGACAATTATTAATTATAATGATTTTTATGATCCACTTAAAATATTGTCCCGTTTTAAGTTCTTTAAAATTTTCTTAAGTACACCATGACTAAAAAATGTCCCTTTAATAGGGAAGTTCCCAAAACAGGGGTTGGCAAAAAATTCCCTCTTAAAAGAGGTTCTCATTATTAGGGTGTTCCAAAAAAAAAAAAGGGGGGGGGGGGGGGGGGAATGTAATTTTTTATATTGTACTTCTGATAACAATTTTTGCTGTAAATTTGCCCATCAATGCTATTATTCGTATGTCATTTAAATTTATCAGAATATAATATTATATATCATATTTTTAAATCAAAACTATTCATGCTTATTCATGGATAAATAGTAGATCAGTTGAGATAAAGAGGAGTACATAAGATATATACCAAGGCCATATAGATACCAAGGCATTAAACATTTACAAATACTGCAAAAAAAAAATCAAATTTGTGAACATTTGAAATTCAAAGTTGAGTCAAAAACAATGGAAATTTTAAGAAGTATGTCGCCCTCTAACACAAAATAGTTGTACCTGTTGAGTTTCATGTGTATTTAATGACTTTAAATGGCAAATGTAACTGACAACTACCCAGAAAATATTACAGAAAACCACATAAACTTAAAGTAGAACAATTATAAATTAAGATGCCTTTTGATAAATTCGTTTTTTTTCTTCAAATTTAAATAATAAATTATTTTTAAGGCTTTGTTTTAACAGCATTGGATTTATTTCAGAGCGATTATTTTTGGTCACTTTTTTGATCTCTGACATATTTCACCTTGTCCCGTCAATGTCCCCTCATTGACTCTCATTGCCCCTTCACTGCTCAAATGTCCCTTGTTACCAAGGTCTTGATTTTTCTCATTGTTCATTCTGTCGACTCCTTTCTTTTATTCATTTCTTTCTTCTTCATTCCCTTTTTCCTTTACTAGACTTTCGAGTCCTCCTGTTTGTGTAGAGTATCCATCTGGTCAAATATAAATGAAAGCGTGTGCCGTTTGATAGAGTCTATATTGCTCTGAAGTTGCCTGTTTCGCTCTTTATAATTCTGGTTTTCAAGTCTTAGTTTTTCATTCTCTGAGGCAAGATAAGCTTTTTCCTGAAAAGAAAATTTAATTGACAATTATTAATTATAATGATTTTTATGATCCACTTAAAATATTGTTTTAAGTTCTTTTAAATTTTCTTAAGTACACCATGACTAAAAAATGTCCCTTTAATAGGGAAGTTCCCAAAAAAGGGGTTGGCAAAAAATTCCCTCTTAAAAGAGGTTCTCATTATTAGGGTGTTCCAAAAAAAAAAAAAGGGGGGGGGGAGGTGGAATGTAGTATTTTATATTGATATTTGCTTTGTGAGCCATAACCTTGAAAAATATACCCTTATAGTAAATGTTCATTTTTTTTTTAACAATCTTTTAAATATTATTAATATTATTATATCATTAATGTAACCTCACACAATGGAATTATCAGAAACTACTGTATAAATTTAAAGAATCTAATCAGAACTTGTAATGACGTAGTAAACCAGTTATCGTACTTGTGTATTCCCTAAGTGATTAGCAAATCATGTATGACGTCACGGGTTCATAAAAATCGTGTTATTCCTTGTATGCCCTGTTTCCGTTCAAATCTGAAACCTCTCAAATCATTTAATTTGACACTTTAAGTTAATGCAAACACATTTTTAACCAAACAAAAAAGACAGGCATTTACCAAATAGATGGAGAAAAATCTTTAAATTGTTCATACCATGGTACTAACCAATAGATGGTGCAAAGACTATGATTATTGCAAAACAAATAAATGCCATAAACAACAGGTTAATCTTTATTAAGACTAATGTGTACAAAATAAATTGTAAGTCCTATACCTTTCATATAAATGATGCAAATATTATAGATGGTGCACACCATGGAACTAACCAACAAATGGTATATGCCACAGTAACTAATACATGGTGCAAACACTATGAATATTGGAAAGCAAATTAATGCCACAAAGAGAATTTTAAGATAGATGTGTACCAAATAGTTTATGCAAGCAAATAATACATGGTACTAAATGATGCAGAATCTTATAAATGGTTAAATTATGGTACTAACCAACGAATGGTTCACACCATGGTACTAACCAATGGTGCAAATTGCAGAGCAAATAAATGCCACTAAGAGAATTTTAAGACAGGTGTGTACCATATAGATTATGCAAGCAAATAAAACCTTATAAATGGTTAAACCATGGTACTAACCAATAAATGGTATATACCATGGCAAAGAAACATAATAAATGATGTATACCTGATCCAATGTCATAAGTCTCTCCCTTAGTTCCTCGACTTCATCTCTTTTGTTTAAACTTCCAACACTTCCACTGTATCTACTACCCATACTTGAATATCGTTCATCCTCGCTAACGGTACAGATACTTGGATAATTGCTACTGGTCACGCTACACCGATCGCTGTCCTTATCCGACTCGTACTCCTCAGTTTGCGTGCTCTGCTGGACTAGCCTGGCTTTCTGCCTCATGGACATTTTGCGTTTTTGTGCAAGGGTGATTTCTGGACATGTTTCTAAGGAGCAAGTATCGATGGGGGAAGTGTCAATGGGGCAAGAGTCAATGGGGCAAGTGTCAATGGGGCAAGTATCACCGGGAGAAGAGTCGGGACTTGTAGGCTCATATTTAATATGCACTAAAAGAAAAGAGAAAAGTTAAAGTTAAAATGCTGTCATAGATTTAAATAAAGATATACTTTTAATTAAATATAATTAATAAAATATAATTTTAAAAAAATTCCATTTTGAAGTTGGCCCAATAACCCAAAGTACACCCAGAAAATTAAAATTAATATGAATAAACATTGAAGCAAACGATGATATAATGTATTGAATATAATTTACCAATTCATAGCATACATTATAAATATAAATTAACATCTAAACAAAACAAACAAATTCCTTTTCTTAAAAAAAATAATAATTGAGGCATAGGAAAGTTTAAATAGAAAAGAAATTTTGAAATTAGGTCATTCTTACCGCCATTCATCTTGGAGCAATCCATTGTGTGTCGCCTCCTCATACCATTTGGTGAAGAACTTCCATTGTTTAGTCCTGTACTTTTCTTGGCTCTGCACTCCATCACGATACGATTTTTACAATGTTTATGGGAGTTAATACCGCAGATCCTACACTTAACGCCTTGCTTTATAATGCCCCAGAGGAGACCGGTACAGTGCGAACAAAAAGTCGGACTGAAGTATGTATGCACGTGAAAGTCATGCTTGAAGCTGTTTCGTAGTGCAAGAGAGTTAGCCTTTACAAAATAATTTTTCATCTCAATCTTGCTTATTAAGCCATCCCTGGGGAGAAGACACAAACAAAATGCAACGTTAATGCAATGAACATGATAACAAAGTCATCAAAACATTTCCTGAGCGAGGGCATTAGGACACCAGAAGGTGAAACCAAAAGGCGTTCAGATTCCCTGAGAACATATATCCAGACGCAAACTGTCTGACCCTTATTACACTCACCCACATTGATATACGCATTTCAAAGGTAACAACACAACATTAACTTAATAAATCACTCGAGTGTCATGTTTACATTACTGTCACATGCAACATGATTTCGTTGAGGGAGTATTGTTATCAAATTAGGCCTTATTATCCGAATCTCTATGGTTTCCTGGTATGTCTAAGAGCCAACATTCATGTTTAGTTATCCCAAGACGGCTAATTTCCTGTGTGCAGCAGAAGACGCTTATAAACATTACACCATTTACAACCAGACACGTTTCCTAATGCTGACGAGCACTACCATATCAAAACACAATAACAAAATGTACACAATGTAAAAATTGGATCACCCCATAATAACAAAATTGCTCTAATATTGCTACGTATGCTAATAGCCTGGATTATATTATTACTGTCATCACTGCTACAAATCCTGTGTAGATCTAGGCCCAGGGTAGCTAAGCTAAGGGTTAAGCACAAAAGGTCACAGCCTGTACGTCAATCGGCTGTGCAGAGATATTGCGCAGTTATTACTGCTTGGTTGTTATCACCACTAGGCCTAGTACCTGATCACTTGAGCTCAAAGCAATTGCGTTTAAAGCTCTTTCCAGATTATCACATTTTCTTTGACAAAAGAAAAAAACTGTTGTATTCCCATATTTAGTCATGATGTGGCTATATATGGTCATGATGTGATGTCATCATGACCATATTTAGGCATGTCACATGTTTTTGTCAAATAAAATTTGATAGTCTGCATAAGGCTTAAGACATGAATGACTTTTATAATGTTATTACCTAGAAATCATGCTCTAATTCGATTTATGGTTATCAAATACTTTTTAATGTAACTTTCAATTCAGAGCCCCAAAAGTATTAATGCCCTACAGATGGATAAATCACCATCTTCTAAACTCAATTATGAAGAGCCACGTTCCACTTACGTGCAAACATACACCTATAGTAAATTATATATAAACAATAATATTACATTATTTTCCCTTAATAATGATATATTGTTATGATCAAATAATATCATTGGTTTTCAAAATAAGTATAGTAAGTTCATTAATAGAAACACTGTATGGTTATAAGCTTTTATTTTAGTTTCATATTAAAAGAAATTTTAAAGAAAACTTTTTCTATAATTTTACTTTTTTATAATTTTAATTTTATTTTTTTATAATTTTTTTACTTCAATTTAATATATATTTTTACTTAGTCTTTCTGCTCATTTTCTAGCCTTGTGTTTAAAATAAAATCAATATAATAATTATTTCAATGTTTTGGGGGAAAAAATAAATAAGTTTTACTTCAGTTTTTCTCCGTTTCTTGCAAATCTAATTAAGAAGATAATGAATTGTTGTACTGTGTTTTGTTTTATTGCTGGATATAAAAGATTATGGTATTAATGAAGAAATTAGTTCATATAATATATTGCTCACTAATACATTCTTTTAACCATTAAGTAAAAATCTCTTCATTCTTATACCTGTATTTATTTATTCATTCATCCATCAGCTATATTTATTTAAAAGAGGCTTACAAGTATTTATCTATCAATTTATTTAACATTAATTCACTTATTATCCCCTTAATCATTCATATTTCCTCTTGTCTGTATTCATTAATATTAAACTTCTTTCATTAATTAGGTTCATTCATATTATAATTTTTAAAATCTGTATCATTTATTAAATTATTACTCTCGCATCTACTGCTAAAAATTTGTGGTTTCGTGGTAGATAAAGAACTGTTACCACAATTTGATTTCCTCAATTATCATCACAACCACAAAGCTTCCCATTAATGCCAACTTATTAGAACTGACACAATTTACATCAACCCTGCATTCATCCTGTTGAAAATGCAACATCCAGATACCTCCATCCAATGTAAATTTACAAGTAAATTTTAGATGACAATAAAGAATAAAATAATAATACTTTGTCGAAACTTACTTTTGTAAGAGTAGCACCTCACTTCTGATAATAATTCAATATAAACATTTACAAGACTCAATATTTAGACTTTTAATAACCACTAGATATAAACACACCAAATCTATTAATATATAACATTGTTGAAAGTGTTTTGAAAAAAATGCCAACATTTTTTTATTGTACTGTACTGTGTATTTTAGTGCATTGCAATGTATTGTATGCTATGAATATGACTAGGTATAATTTTAGTGTAATTTAAAGACATGTTCACTAACATTGTAAAAGTACTGTTCTCTGCCGGTAAAAAATTCACCCTCTCGGAAATGAAATTTTAATATTTGAATGATTATTTATTTTGGTATTTTTAAATACGCTGTTAGCTCTCAATTAAAAACTATAACAAGAATGGTGTCTAGTGGGTCTTGTTGGTTGTGAATTGGGCAGTACAACAAAAGAAGATAACCATATCCTTTTCCACATGCATATTAGCAAAAATTCAATTGTTTTTAAATGACACAATGTAATTATTAATACTAGCCATATAAATGAAGGTATCACTAAGTAATACATACTGATCGGCATCAAGGACGCAGAACGATTCCATGAAAGGAAAGTTACTGGAAATGGCCTGGAATTCAGCATAGGAAATGTAACCATCTTTATCATTATCATAGTTCTTGAAAACCGCCTGCAGGAACAAGATTATGAACAAATAAGAATTAATTAGGTCATTAAAATGATGTAATTCATGGCATTACACATTATACCTAAAGAGAAGCATACTTTGTCATTTCCTATATTGTTTTCAATTACCAAAATGCCCTCACCTTTCTCATTCTAACCTTTCACCTGAAGAAGCCAGCTTGAGCTAGCAAAAGCTTTGTGCCAAAAAAAGGGGTACAACACATTCTATTTGTTTTTCATGTTGACCTACTTACGCTATTATTCAGTACATTCCAATTCATGTACATAATAATATAACTTAAAATTAATTCAATGTATATTACCTGCAAATAACAATTAAATAGCATACACAAACGACACACATGAATAAAATCCTTTTGAATATAAAACAAAAAATATATACGGATAGGATCATTAAACAATTTTTCATACCAGAATTCATATCAGCCAGCGTCAGTCTAATAGACTATGCAATAAAAATAACACACATTGCTGTTTTACGGGAAGATAAATTCGATAGAAATTAGTTTTGTTAATTAAAATTATTTTATTTCCTTATACCAGAATTATTGACTATTAAATTCAGCTTACCTCAACCATAGCACTGACATGTTTTCCGATGGTTTCATTGTCAGAGGGGGAAGAGACACCTGAAGCCCAGGCTGCAAACACATGTGGCTTAGTTGGTGTTGGAGGCTATTTTAAATGAAAAACAGATAAATATATAAGGATTGGATGTCAACAATAATGACTTCAGTTGTAACAGAATATCAGCTTTTGCCATCTGATTTGTATTTGGCATCATGTCATGCCAATATTTTCTAATTGTCATATTACCAATTTGATTTAACTAGGATTTGAACTTATAATCCACATATTAGAAGTCGGTACTCATACTGCTACACCATTTCCATCAATATCTATTATGTTTATAGTGTGCTTATTATAATAAAATATTTGGAAATTCACAAAAATTAAACATGATCAAACAGTTCATTCATATGCTGTCATGACCCATAGTGAATTAATTGAAACATGTAGTCCAAAGTTTAGGCCAAATATATAAAAAAAATGTTTCTCGTCAATTTATTATTACTACTATTATAATTATAATAATTATTATTATTATTATACTTTTATTCAAATTAATTGCTTGTTAATTTTGGTATGATTATTACAATATTGAAATTAGATTATTGAATTGGATGATTAATGCTTTCATTACTTTTATTATACCCTCTCTCACTGCTTACAAGGATGCGTAGCTTTCAGAAAGATATTCAAGGTGTTTTGGCTAACGAAAGTAGAAAAATAAGTTGACAACCCAGAAACACAAGATGGGAGTGAAGTAACGAATGAAAAACATGTTATTTTTTAGTTAAACTAACAGAAATCCAAAACACAATTAGAAATTTGGCACGATGAAAGAAACTTCATAAAACCGAAGATATTAACAGGTAATAGAATTAAATTATCAAGATACTTATAACTACCTCAGTCAAATTATGAGGGGGTGGTTGACACAGCAGTTGAATTTTAAAACTCCCAACCTTGAGAGTTAGGGCTTGAATCCCACGTTGTTGATTTACTTGTGTCCCTGGGCTAAATACTATGCTACATAAATGACTTGGAAACGCCTCAGGGAAAAGAGTTTACATAGTGTGTGCTATACGAAAAGTGTTTATATAATGTAATATTAATAATGAGTTAATAGCTCTCAGCATGATAGCATTACTATTGACCTTTTCTCTAAGCTCCACCCCTTTGATGCTGCTGAGGTCCAAAAAAAAAAGATAGTAAACATGTGTGTTTATAGGACACACAAGTGTTTGTGAGACAAGCACGTAATCTTAGCAACATTCTGATTGGTTAGTTGTTAAGCATGATTTACACTCCAGAAAAGTCTATTTTCTGGTCAATACAAAGATAAACAATTAATGATATATATAAAAATACTTTAAATTATATTTATAAAAAAGAAACACTTTTGTTGAATGTGAGATATAATTATAAAACCGCTTTAAAAGTAAGCTGATTAAGTCATATCTAGCCATAAGATTATATGCTCTAATAAGTACCCCCAGTCATATCTAGGGCAATATATTCAAAAATATTTGTGTAGGCACTTCTTGGAATTGGGTGTTATCAGAGTAATATCAGAGAGGGTACTAATTTTAAGAGTGGGCTCTAAGTAGAATGCAATATGTATAGATGTCTGTTTTTAAAATTTATATATAAATTTTTTTATGTTACACTGATACATTATTAGAACATCAGGATCATGAACAGGTGTGAATAGATCAGGTAATAAATTACAGTTCTTATATTTAATACATACTGGTTTTGAGCAATATGCAAATAAAAAGAAATTGAATATTTATTTTTTAAACCATATTTATCCTGGAAAGTCTGCTGATATTCAGGGCCTTCTTAAATAAATGAAATAGAAAATCCTGTGCTGTAACAGGATTTGAACCCAGGAACCTGGGATTGGAAGGCTACACTACAATTGTCTGCTAAAGGTAGCATTTACTACAGTGTTTATAACATTAATCAGTGGCAGCACTACGGAAAAAAAATTTTTTTTTTAATTATATGTATTTTGTACATATTAATAGACCCTAAAATCGATTAAGTAAGCCTCTGAAACCCCTAAATTGACCTCTTTCAAAAGGTTTTAGCGACACCCGACTACGCCCACTTTTTTCTCGTCAGGGACATCAGCTCCCTCCCCAAGTCGGGGACCTTGGACCCGCTGTCGGAGAAATCCTGCCACTGCCACTGACATGAATGATTGTCTACAGTTCACAGCATGTGTTGTTACATTATTATGTGTATATGACCAACACTTTAATTTTGAATTTGTAAAATGGGGTTGCTAAATTGTTGAAGGGGGAATGAAGCTATATAGTGCTATCATGGAATTCATTAACAAGCATTCAATCTATTCTGCAAGGCCTTGTCAACCAATGGCCCAGATCTTTGGTGTCATAACCAAAGTCTGTTATTGATAATATCAGATTGTAAGGTGAATTTAACTGATACTTACTGCACTATTTGCAGAGTTCCTTGGTTCTCTTGCTAATGATAATTCATAAATCTCATCTTCGGTATATTTTAAATCCAAAGACACCTGGAAGTTTAAAAAGAAAATTATGTATTCAATAAATCAGCCGATTCAATCCATTATTACCTCCGCCAAAGGCGGTTTGCAGTCACCACTGTCTATCTGTTAGCCAGATTACGCAAAAACTAATGAATGGATCATCGTAACATTCAATGGAATGGTACATAATAATCAAAGAAAAGACACCATTCAATTTTTGGAAGGAAAGGTTAAGGGGCAAGGACAAGTCACAGATATTCAATATATTATAATGGAATCATCCCTTATATTCAGGTACAGGCAGGAGGTATAATGTTCCTGAATACGATGGATGATTCCATTATTTTCTTAAAAGTATGCTGCACTCAAGAAAATACTGTCTGAATATGCCATCATACTGTACATGGCCTGTGTATTCCTCAGTATTCAGCAACAGGGCGGAAAAGAATCTCAATCGCCCGTATACACGGCCTGTGTATTGTTGGTATTGAGGCACAGGACGGAAGTATGCACTCTATGGAATGACTTCTCTAGTTTAATTAATAAATCAGCACATTAATTAGTCGACCAATAAAAAGATCAATCATTTCAATAATCAATAAATCAATCAATCTATCAGTCAATCAATTAATTTATAAATCAATAAATCAATTAATAATTTGATCAATTAATCTTAAGTTACTTTCTTATATTTAACCTCTAGATATGCATAAGTGTGCATTACCAAATTGAATGATTGTTGCAAAACACTTGTAAATCATTGGAAAATATTTTATTTTTTTCTGTAAATTACAAAAATTTAATAACTTATATATATTCATAACACTTTATAAAAATTCAGACTATTGCCTTATTGACAAAATCAGTTTTAAAAATTCTTAGTAATCAAAAATATTTGATACATAAATTTAATGATTTTACATGCTGAGAGTTTTTAATTCCATTAAGAATTTCCAATCAACAGTCACACACACACACACTCATGCAACAAATGAATGATGATAAACCAATGCCAAGATTGTCCACCCCTGTATGAGATAAACAATTTCAATTATATGCCAAACGAGGTCAACCTCCAGTGATACCTTTGACCCTGACATAGAACATGTTACATTTACGCAGACTAAGAAGCATCTTATCTTAATAGCGCGGCCTTCGGCGTGACACATGCTTTTACTCTTGGGGCAGATCTTGACTCAATTCTTTGTTAATGTAGATGCTTTGTTTAAGATGGCTGCCTATAATCTAATAAAGCGGCACAGGTATTGACATGTCCCTCGTCGCCATATCAAGAGTGAACAGCGGCGGGCGTTTTGAGGGCGCAACCTTTTTAGTTAATGGTCTTTTAAGCAAAAACTACTTGACTTTGTTCACTTTGCGAGTTAAATTATACAGGTCCTTCAGATAATCCCAGTGTTGATAGGAGTTATTATGTGCAAATTAAATTAAAGATGTCAACAAGCATATCAAAATGTGTTGCAATCAATCAAAGACTGTTAGCAACAGTGTAATATCTAGAGGGTGCACAGGAGCAGGGAACATACTCCATCAAAGTCTTGCGCCCCTCTCACTCCCCCACAAGAAATTTTCAAAGAAAACAAAATTATGCTCAAGTAGTTTAAATTCACCACATACCACCATATTTTGCCACCTTGCACCCCCTCACTTTATCATCAAGGCCTCCCTCTTCACTTTCACATGCCACCCCCTTCAGTCCTCCCCCACATTTTAATACCACTAGATATGCCACTGGTTAGTAAAACTAATATAAAACCTATCCATCAGAGTAAATACTGTTATGTATTTTTATCATATATTTTTGACAAAAAAAACCAAATGATTGAATGGTATGAAGATAATTTTAAACATATCCTTTGACAAACATATGCAAGAAAATAAAATCCTCACTTTCAAATGCCAAATATATGTGATAGGAACAACTACCTACACAGTGCGTACTAAATGTAATGTTGTTATTTTGTTGTGTTTTTAACACATGCTTATATATTTTTCTTGTCTGACATTCAATTCCCCTCATCTATAGGGACAGAATCAGGGGGGCTTCCCTTTGGCATGAATCAACTTGAGGCTTGCTTCATAATCTTTCAGATAGGAATATTGCGGGAAATCTATCAATTTGGGAATTAAGAGCCATGTCAATCACTCGGCTAGATAACAACAAATGAAACTATCGAGGGAGCAAGTCATTCATGGGAAAACAAAAACCAAATGAGCGTACAGAGCGTTTGAGTGGCTAAGACCGCAGTACAAACACAGTTCATTCATTATCAGGAATTAACAAACCATTGCAGTGCTTCTGATGTTGAAAACTTAATTACGAAAATGACAATATCTAGGGTTATTTGGTCATTATCTACACATACTACAACCAACACATTCTCACTGACGCAGTTCAGAGCTAGCTAATCCAAAAGGGACAAAAACCCCAGAATCTTGGCCAGGTACTCAGACATTTTAAAGGTTATAGCAATCATTAAAAAGAACCATTTCATTAAAATCACACTTTGCTTCTGCTTTTTTTTGTCAAGAAAAATCAATGAAATATTTATCATTTTTCTCCAGCTTGACAAAGGTTGCTAACCTAAAACGTTTGCTCACTTTGTTAAAGACATAAAGTAATGCCTATGATGCACCAAAAAAATATTTTTTAAAAATATTAATATTTTAACTGATTTTTATTAGTATTTGATAGAAAAATTATAATGAATATAAAAACATTTCTTTAAAATTAAATGGACATAAACATGAAATTATTTTTTTTTTTTGTATATACATACTTAGCTGATAACCAATTAAAAATTTTTTTTGTAGTAAAATGTCTGTAAATCAGTGAAAAATAAAATATTTTTGTCTATGTTTTATAGGTTAAACTTCAGCCCTGTCCAGACTATCAAAATTTATTCGACAAAAACATGACATGCCTAAATATGGTCATGATGACATCACAACATGACCATATACAGGCATATCATGATTACATATGGGCATAGAGACGTTTTTTGCTTCATAATGTGGACAGAGGCTTACACCCCTTTCACACTAACAGAATAATACCCCTTTCACACTGAACAGAATATGAACGAAATGGACTTAGTAGACACCGAATACAATCTTTGTATGAACGATATAAATGGGCAAGGACGGGAATGGTGGTTCAGAACGTCGACCATGTTTAAAATTTGATCCTGTTCTACCTGTTCAAATGTTAGGACTTCATAAGGTCGTATTCGAACAAAATTGCCGTACTGGAAACTGAATTGCCGTACTGCAAACATGGAATGGACGGGTAAAAAGCGAGCTGAATGTTGTGTGAACAGGGGGAAACAGGAGTATGATACAACAACACTGATGTTTTTGTGTTCCACCCCATCCTGCACGTTCTCAGACAGAAAAATGGGCCAGATAGGGGATGTATTGTAGCAGATCGGGCTGAAACATGATCCAGATCCCCGATCTGAACGTGTAAAAGACTGTCTGAGAAGGCAGTGCAAACAGGCAAGACTGAGCATGAACTGGGTTGAACGGACATGTCGTACTTAATGCGAACCGTGTAGAAACGTCCTAGAACAGGTTGAAATTTACTGCGAAGGGGTTAAATGGGTTGAGGACGGGTTGGAACTTGTTAAAAACAGACTGCAAACGACAATGAACTTAATGTCTTCCCATTCTTAAAGTTGTACAAACCGTCTGCAATCGTAATGCTCTTACTTCAAACTGTCTTGTGTTGTAGTAAAAGCCAAAATTGCACATTTCAACCCGTCCTTATCCCGTTTCATGAAATTTTCAGGACGGGTAGGAATATTCGTGAAGGGGCCATTAGTAATAAGTTGTACAAATTTGATCAACCAAGATTTTGTATTCTACGAAGATTTAAGTAAATTTGCAAATTGAGAATGCTATTGTTTACAACTTTTTGTCCACTTTTTGTCCACACTCATCTACTTTGTTCACAATTCAAATAGCAGCCATCGTATTTATTACATTGTACAACGTTTGCAGTAGGCCTAGTGTGACAATCATCTTTCAACAGGCAGTACCAATGCATTCCCATTGAATAACTCAGGATATCTGACAAAAACAGGCCACAGCGATGCTTGTTCTTTTCCCAAGATATCACAGATTTTATGTGGAGTTGCTTCACACTAAACAAACCTTCTTTCTCACTACTAACTGGTTACAACTTGTTACTATTTGCAAAACAGTGGCAGTGTGAAAAGAGTATTATTTGTCTCTTTTAGATCAACACCTATTTTTTTATAATTTGAAGTTTTGAGGTTTTCAATATTTTTCCAAAGACAATATATATTCAATAAAAAAGGACAGGCAACATATTACTGTACCTCCAAAAGTTAATTGTTTTTATATACAAATACAAATATACAAAACATTTTTCCCAGAAAGGGAAAGGGCAAAATCCAAGGAAAATTTGCTTCATATCTCCCATACATACATCAAATATTTTTTTACATATTTATTAATTTGTTCTTTATACTGGGTTCCAACTTACAATGGGGTATTATAAGATTAGCTTGATATTGTTTTTCAATTTTTTCTGTATTAATTTTTTGTATTAGTTCAAAAGCATTAAGAACAAAAAACATATATAGATACATTCTTCTATAATAAAGAGATACAAAAAACAAAACCATAAGACTATGTGTGCTAAGGGCAATACTCTGCTAAAAATAAAGTTAATATATGAAACCTGAAACTGTCTATTAAATTATGATAGGACAATAAGCATAACATGTTTAGTGTTGTCATGTAACCAGGTGTGACAACATACTTAAGTAGGGAATTAATTCAAGTAAATTGGCCATCAGGTAAGTTGTTTTTTAAAGTTTCTAACAAACAGGAAGAGTAAATTAAATGGATAGGTACCTGGATGGGAATTCCCAGGGACCTAGAACATCATTGAATTTATTTAAATTTCAGTCTTTGTTCTCTAGAATATCAATAAATACGACAATTGGTCACAATACTATGCAGACACTGTGCAAATAAAATTCAAATGATTCTGCTAACAAATTTATAAGCAAGCAACATGGACTTTATCTAGGACAGGTACACATCAGTCAAATTTTGACAGGATTGGCAAGCAATGATAAAAATGGTGTAACATTTTGACGCAGTTTATGTCTCTAATGCCCCTGAATGGGTCAGTAGACACTTAGCTAACATCTGGAAATTTACATGTGAGAGTAAATCTGGTAAGGTGCATGATGGGATATTGCATGATAAGCAAAGATTTGTTTCGCACAGCCAGGTTTTATTTATCAGATTTGGTCTCAAGATTGTCTAGTAAACATATATATGGCAGTAGACACACACTCTCGCTGGGAGCCTATTTTTTTTTCATCATGCGACAGGCACAAAATATAATGGGCCACTAAAATATTGACATTTGAAATGACTGCTATATTTTAAAATTGGATACATGACAATTGATTCTTTGTACAGTGTGGATCTCTAGAGTTTTTCTCTAACTTCCAACCTCCAGCAATTCTAGCGCTAAATTTTATTATGTGATATGACAATATATCTCACAGTTTGTTAAAATCTGATGTACAAACTTCACGTAGGCGAAGGCTGGTTTCGATTCGGGAGTGTGAAAATGAGAACGCGGAACTAATTCAAATAAAACATTTTAATTGTTATAACCCAATTAGTGAAACATTTTGTTGCCGGGAATAGGGGGATAGATGTGTACCCCAGCACCTCCCAGCCTGTGCCCATGCATAGTTACTTAAAAAATAAACGTGGCAAAATCATTCTTTGGTGGAAGCCATGTGTAATACTTGTACGATTAAACCCAGTTGCAATGTTACTTTGTGGTTCTCAACAATATATTTTTTAATTTATTTCCTTCCAAAAACATTTTAGCTGGGAGCGGTACCACCTATGGGTAATGATGGGGATCCAGAGAGCAGAGATCTGGTGAGGGTCCAGAAAGCAAACCCCAAAATTATTGACATTTTAAATGAGCTCAGAAAACCTAAGGGCTTCTATTTTTTAAATGTCTTCTAAATATTCCTTATATTTATAAAAATAGAAAATTGCTACATTTTGAAGTAGTGTGTAATATTTCTCCTTTCTCCTATAACATTTTCTCATCAGCTTTAGTGGTTCAACTGAGTTGGTGACAGATGATCCAACCCTCTTGAGGGGAAAAACAGAATGATGAAAATGACTATTGTTATTATCTTCTAAAATTTCTTTGAGCCTCTTCCTTGTTTTGAGTACCCACCCCACCCCCACTTCATATTACTGCCTCCGCATTTATAAAGCCAAATTCAGTATGTCTCTATATGAATTTGTACCCTATAACCCTTTACTGAAATTGGCTAATGATTTTATTATTCTATATGTGTGTGTTTTCTATCCTAAGGGGATTGCAACGCCTGTTAGCACACACTTCACTCAGTAAGTTCTAACTCAAGAGTAATGCGATCAATGTGGAGTGTTAATAGCGGTGGTTTTTGGTTACGCGACTTGGGACAAGCCAGTGCTTCAAAGGATATTTTTTTATGGATTCCAGAACTGGCCAATCACGAGTAAGGCAATTGTAACACATACAGTAAATTGGGGATGTTCCAAATGCCATGACACATGATATAATAACAATTATACAATAACCAAAACCAATAATAAACAATTATGAGAATGGAAATTAAACCTATAGTGGGCGCTCTTTCTTACCTTCAGCATGTTGACAAGATCCATGTTGGGTTCAACAGGGGGCTTCATGTGTGTCAATCGCATTAGCTCCTCGAATGTAACCATCAGTTGCGCCATCTTACGGAAGTTGATATGCGATTTTTCTGTCTTATCCGGCAGTGCTGTGTGCAGGAGTACAAGATCTTTCAAATGCACTCCTATGATAAAAAATAAAAAATATGTTTCTGTTAAAATTATTTATTATTTTAAAAATTATTTTATTAATACTCAATTTTTTAAATTATTAATATATATTTTTTTAACTCCAATTTAAAAAGTGTAAACAAGTGTAAAGCATTCATTTACTAAGGAGCTGATGTTTTGTAGGACCTTCACAAACAATATCTAAGGGGCAGAGCTTATCAAAATAAATTGTTAAATGAGTCATGCTCTATATTACCTTATAAGACTAATGGAATAAGTTGTACTCATGGATTTGAACCAAGAACCCTAGAAGTGACAGGCAAGCACCTCAACCACAAAGTCATGGTCCACTCAAAATTGTTGACACAATTATTCTTATATTATGTATTTCCTTTACCACTGTATAACCCATTCCAAATGGCCAAGAAAAAATTGCTTTTGTGAATTATTGCTTATATTTGTCCTATATTTAAATAATTTTCACATGGATTTCAAAGTGCTTTTTAAGCTGGTCATTGAATGCTGAATCAAAAATAACACATTGAAAGCCACTTTCAACCATGATGGATATTGGAATGTAACACATAATATTCTTCATAAGGTAAGACTTCTTTTATATCTTGTTCAGCACATTTATTTCTTAAGAGAGCATCAGAGGATGGTGGAAAAAATTAAATTTATTATTTAGCAAATAGTTTTGCAAAAACATCCAAAAAAAAAAAAATAAATAATATAAAAAAAAATCAAATAAAATATTATTGGTGAATGTAAATATTGTAGTAATGTGATGGTTAAATGCCTTAAATTTATATAATTATGAAGAAATATACATATCTTATTTTTGGAGATTTCAAAGCAGCAGTGGGCATAATAAAAATAAACAAAACATTTTTTTTTCTGAAATTTCCATTTTTCATATCGTGCGCAAATTGACCAAAAAGCAGAATGTTATTTTTATTTGAAATCATCATTATTGGAGGGCGGCAGGTTCGCTAAACAAGGTATAAATAAGGTCTCGTCTAAGTCAACTGTGACGTCATGAATAACATGCACACCTACCTCTACAAGCATTGATTCCATCAGAGATGATTTGAAAAAAAAAAAGAAAAGAAAAAATTTAGTCACAATGATGTTCTTTGAGAATTTTATTGAAGTTGTCCTTATAAACTTATTTGACTTTTAATTAAAACTAATATGTCCTTCATTTTTTCACAATACAGGAATTACTGACATTAATTAGAAATTTAAAAAAATTAAAGACATTAATTGAAGCTGTTCTTATGATTATTTACTTAATAATGGTTAATAAAAACTAATATGTCCATGTTTATAATTTCTTACAATATAAAAACCACATGATTAAGAAATTAATTCACAAACAATAATAGAGAAATTATAGAGAGGTTAAGAAATTAAATAATTAAAAAATTAAGAGACATTAATAAAGAAATATCATGACAAGATCTACAGGTGTTTAGTATAAGAAAGAAGTACCATACCCAAAATTGTTTTCAATGATCTATATACAATGTACCTGCCTAACAAAAATTAAACATTATACCCTAGATCTACCACATGGCAGACAGATTTGAAATACTATCGTTTGCTTTCTTTGAACTCCCAGGCAACTTGGGATTAAGCTGAATAAGTCTCTAGATACTTAGTCAAACAGTGACGAATGTGATAACATTTAATTTGACACTATAAGAGGAAATAAATTAATAAAATTGTAATAAACCCGAACACAAAATTAAAGGGACGAGTCAAACTGCTGCATCACAGCAAACCAGAGTACGTTTACATTTTTAATAAGAGATAAACTTGACAATGCAGACTTAGAATTAATTATGACATCAAATCATAATTTATTATTCATGTGTTTGGTGAATCTTTGAAAAACAAGGTGAAGCTGAACATTTGGCCTCATGGGTTTATTGATAAAACAGTGGTTTGAGTCCCTAGTACAATGTTCTGAACTTAATCATTAAACCTGTATGGAGATACTATTTTCTATACCCAAATTTTAGTTAAGTTAACATCGGCAATTCCTAAAAGGACACATTATTAATAGAAAAATCCATAGATATATCCAACTTAGTCTCAAAGCTCCTTTAGAGGAGCAAATAAAAGGGTTTAATTTCAGAAAAAAACTACATCTAAAACATAATCTAAAATGTAACAAGAGTGGATTCAGTACAGTATTTCATGGGATGGATGAGGGGCTGTCTCTTATACGGGGTACCAAAAATGTCAGATGGTTTGAATCACACCACCATGAGAGTATATCCAAAATGTAATAAGGGTGGACTCAGTATTTTAGGGGATGGTTGGGGGAGGGGGTACCAAAAATGTCAGACGGTTTGAATCACACCTCCATGAGAGTATGGTCCCTTAATGATGCAGGTGTGGTTGATAAACTGATATTTTCAGAGGTCTTAAATAAAACTTTAAATTTAGGCCAACTTTCTAGTCTATTATTTAAAAAATAACATACATGTTGGAAAAATGTTAGGGGGCAAGAGACTAACATATGTTTATCCCCTTGACCTAAATGTCTCCCTGTGTGAAATAACACACAAAAAAGATGAAAATATAATGACTCACAAAATTGGAATCTTGAAACCTTTGGCTTCATTCAAATATTTACGGTAATTACTAAAATTGGAGGCTGATGACAACATCTCTGTCATTTCTGTAATAATCTGCAAGAGATATAAATTAAATATAATAAAATTAATAGCATCTGAATTATTTTGGCTTTTGCTAGAAGTTATTTTGACATTAGATAGAAATGCATTGTCATTCTCTAGCCACACAATACATTTTTCTGTGACAAGTATGTGTGATTTTCCCATATATGGATATGGAAATGTCATATCACATCACATTCATATATGGATATATATCAAATCCATATATGGACATGATATCATATCACATTCATATATGGAGATATAATATCACATCATTATACAGTATCAACATATCACATCCCCTTCACAAGCTTCCTGAATGATGACATAATTAATGTCGAAATATTGAATCCCAACACGATAGCGTGTATTTCAATACTTGGAGTATGTATTATACTTTCTTCCTGAATAAGGAGTTGCAAAGTACCTGTTCAAAGTCCATATATGGACATATAATATATCCATATATCATCAAATCACATATTTATCATATAAAACTTGATGAGTATAAACAGCTTTTTAGGTCATATAAAAAAAGTCCTTTTTCTACTACCACATTTTTAGGCAGCCTCCATTTTTAAAATCAATTCCTAAAAGTTAAAATAATGAAAATATTTTTAAAAATTCCATCAATGTAATTGGATAGAGAATCATTAAACGCCGGATGCTATTACCTGCTGTCAAGCCGTCTGGAACAAAATGGATTTAAATACGATCTCAAGAAACTGTATCAAGACGAGATGAGCAAGGTTAATTATCTCATCTTATTCCATATGGAAGTCAGTTAATTGCCCCTAAATCTTCCCATTCAGTTCAATAAATCCGATGGAATTTCATAAATTTAAATTGATGTCTTATTATTATTTGAAAACAGTTTAACGATATAAACATTTATCAAGGAAGAATTTATGGGTACACATTTTCGTGTCATTATTCTTACCTTAAATACGTGCCACAGATTTATTTTAGAGATATATACTATTATTATCAATGAACTTTGTGGTGCTTACAATCAAGAGTATATATTACACAACATGCTTTGATTTCTCACGGATTTATTTTATTTTATTTATTTATTCTGCCTTAAAAGTGGTAACACTTATGTCAGTGAAGAAAAAAAGAAATGAAAATCAGAAGATAAAAATTAACAATAATTAAACAAAAAATATGCAATTGAAATATAACCTCAAATATAAACAAAAGGATAAATTTAATTTTGATGAAGGCAAGAGAACAGACCTGGGTGGTCAGAGAGAACTTAATTATTATCTGTTTTTGATCAAATTTTTAAGTTTTTAAGTTGAAGGCCATTTAATTTTATTTTAGTTAGGTTTTGGATTAATAGTACTAACATTACAACCAGTCAAATAGGCCCTACATACACTACACGGCCATATTATAAAATTCCACTCATTTATATCAAGTGCCACTCCTGAATATGTGCTGAAGTCTTGAACAACAACACACCTTCAAAAATATATTTACAAAAATTTAAATAAATGGTAAGAATTCCTAGTAAGTAAGAAACAGGAAATATTTATTTACGGAAATTTATTTAAATCTTATTTATATAATAATTTAGTTGGTATTATTCTTAAAAACAAATATCTAATTATAGATGGTTCTTTTGAATGCTAATTATCAATTGAAAGCAACACGCAAAAACGTTCTAAAAATAACATTTTTACCCTGGGAATTTTTAATTTGTTAACAAAATAATGTCTATATTTAGGACACTGCCCAAACAAGTCATTCCTATTTGGAATGTTTATAGCTGCATGAGAAGTAGGCCAAATAAAATTCAAATATCCCATGGTAGGGCATACAAACCTTGTAAATATAGATGATTCATAAAAAACCTGTCAACAACTCTTGTCTGCCAAACAGTCAAGAGCAGACTATAAATGACCATCCAAGACAGATGTTTATCAAAAACATGTATTCTTTTATAGTCTGCAAGTTATTTTTTACAAAGATCATCGGGAGACATGGTTTATATTTGGCAACAGAGCAGGTCAAAGAGGATGTGATATCTTGAATTAGAAGTATTTTAATAGTTTTCTACCAAAAACAAAATTTGTTACCTTCTGTTTTTCAGGTGAAATGTGCGAGTTAGTTTGGCGTAACCTTGCCAGAGAACTGTGACTCAGACCGCCAACCACCGCCATTAGTGTGTTAAAATTGTTCAGTTCCTGTAATCTCTGCAAGTAAAAATTACAAGAATTATTTGTTAAATTTTTAGAAAAATCATAAAGTGCCAAGACTGGTTAGTACGTCATTATTTAGAGCAGAACTGATCTGTTTTGCAAACAGGTTCACAAAATTAAGTGTTAAATTTAGTGTTGTAGAACTTATGCATGCATCCAGACCTAGTGAGTTTTTAACTTTGGCATTATAACATTCTTGCTTTTTCTTTTCTTATTACTTCTTCATATTTTATTTTTCCTTGGGTTCTAACAAGTTCTGTACAATTTAATAAGAACATAATATATTCACATTTATTCTATATACTGTCTCTTATACACATCTAGATGTGTATAAGAGACAGCATTGATATTCTACGAGATACGCTCACTCGCTTAATGTTATCCCCCCCAATTCCATATTGCTCAGTAATGAATGGCTCTTAAAAAATCTCTGGAGCAAAAGTTTGGAACAAAATCCCAATCAGAATTGAAGAATGTCAATCTCTTAATTTATTCAAAATTACTTATAAGAATCACTTTTTCTGATTATCACAATTCATTTCCTTTTATATTTTCTTGGTTTATATTTTTAACATTTAATCCCGGCCCCGAAACTTGGACTCAGAAATACTGGGATGGTGTCCGGCGGCGGGATAGTTTCTATCATTTTTATCTATTTAAATAACTGTACAGTATTTGTCCTACCTTGTAATCCCGGCCCCGAAACCTTGACTCGGACCTTTCACTCTGCCATGCAGCTTCTTTTGATTTGATATATTTAAAGTAATGATTAAAGATTATCAAACTAAATTAATAATCTATTAAATGATAATTAAATAAATACAAAATCATTCAAATACAAAAAACATAAATGACAATATTCCTTTAAATTTAATCTCTAAAATATATTTCTTTGTTTAAAAAAACTGTTCTCTTTGATAAATGCCAAATACAAGATTATTGTACATATTTGCAAATTGATAATGTTTGCATAAGACAAATGTCAGTAGAGCATTCGATATTGATTCGGTTTTCATGCACAGCCTTAATTCGGGAATGGAATTCAAAACCGATTATTTATGTTGCAAGCTTGACAATTCGCAGAACTGAATCTATAATCTACATGTACAATACCCTACATGTGTATATCATGATTCTAAAGTATCGAATTATGCATAAAATACAAGATGAGATTCTCATTCAAGTCTCCGATAACTGCAGCAGCCGGCAGTTAGAGAGGATTACGCCTGACTGTAAGGCGGATTTGGACCCAAGGTATAGAGGTCAAAGTTTGATATCGATAGATTCTACTGGTGTTTGTAAGCTCTACTTGTCATTATAATTTTTTAAATTTCAGTTTGACCCAACGGCAAGTAAACACACACCAAGAACAGTGATAATTAACACCAATTATGAGGTTTAATGAGTTCTGGAAGTTGCAGGATTTTTTAACTGAGCTGTGGGATAGAGGTTTAACGCTTTCACCACTAAGATGCAGATCCACTCCTGTATAATCATTAAAACTGTTTTGATAATGATGACGATAATTATAATAATGATAATGATCATTATTACAATAATAATATAAATTTTGTTCTCTATTACCTATACCTCATTCTCCTGCAACAAACAAAATTCTATCTCTTCTTTAAAGCCCAGTTATTTTAAAATCTTACTTTGACCTTCTAAACCCACTCTCCACTTACAACCCCACTGTTCTGCTTTAAGTTACTCTACGCTCTCCCAAAGCTTCTGCTTTGTCTTTCCCCAAGTGCCACTATAATATCTTCCCTCTTGCGAGAAACAAGGTCAGAAGATTAGAAGAATAGTAGATGATCCCCTCTTATGACGTCGCTTGTGAGGATAAACTACTGTCGCAAAGAAGGAGGTCGAACCTGATCTTCACTTGTTACGTCACTTTGTGACAGATAAACTTCTCTCGCAGAGAACGACGTGAAAGATTACTTTCAAATACTAGCTGATCCTTATTTGTGACGTCACTTTTTATGGATAAACGTTACTCGCAACGAACAAGGTCATAAGATTTTAAAGAACACTAGCTGATGCTGTCTAGTGATGTCATACTGACGAATAAAGCTAAGTATAATGAGAGAATTATTACTTACAATTGCTACATTGACAAATTTTTCCATGACCTCTGCCCTTTGTTTTGGGGTGTGCCTACTTAGTACCATACACTGTATCCACATTGATAATCCATTGAACAGACCAATAGAACGTTCCAACTTCACATTATCTTTTAGCTGACCACTTAGAGCATAGCTCTTAAAATCGCTAAACTGGAGAACGAAATAAACACAACAATTTAGCCATTGTTTATACACTGCAATACATAAAATGTTCAAAAACTACAATATTGTACAAGAAAGAGATAATTAACAATACAGGTAGGCAAAATCTATACAGGAATTACAAAATGTTAAAAAATGATAATACAAAAAAAGATAGGATAAAAAATAAAAATTGGAAGAAATTGAAGTATTTTTAATTTTTATATCATTCCATATACAACCAAGAGATAAAAAACTGGAATAGTAAATTGTAGTTTTATATAGCGCACATATCCATCTAATGTAAGATGCTCAGGGGGCTTGATGTGTGGACTAGGAACTCGATCAATGACTTTCTTCGCCCCCAAAGGTCCCTTCGTGTCTGTGCTACCCGGTAACCCGGTACAAAGCAACTCTCGTTGTCCAGTACACCGGAGTATCCCCCTACTCGTCTCGAAGAATGTACTGGGTCCTTTATAGTGCAAACGAGCCATTGTATACACTGGGCCTACGGTTTATAGTCCTTATCTGAGAAGACCATTATAGGCGAGTGTGCCGTTCGAACCAGCGCCGATATTATGGCTATAGCCTGCGGCTCCACTGCTAACCACTCGGCCATTCGACTCACTCAATATATAAAATAAGTACATAAGTGATATTTGTACTACCAAAGGCCACAGAATGCTTTACAACACATTAAAGTTCAATAAAAAGTTCAAATATAGCAAACTTGTGTATCATAAAATTTAAATGTTTTTTTATAAATTTTATAAATGGATTACATCATATATAAATATAATCCTCCTTCAAATTAAAGAACACTTATGGGGCTGGTGTTTCCATGGGATTTAGCAGCTTTGGTCTCTAATCAGAATAACAAAAATAAAAGACATTTGTTAATTTGGGATCACAGAAAAGTAGTCTTTAATTGGAGGTGATTTTTAATAAAGGGAGACCCGTAATCACATTCACGACTCATGAAAATCCATGATAATCTTTTAAACATTATACTTGTATAAAATTATATAAACCATCTTCAATAAATTGGTATTCCCTAGCGTTCGCTTGATGATAATGGTCTATTATGGAAAATTATGAATACCTAATGTCCATTATAGAACTGAGCATGACTACCAAGGTGATTAGAAAATGGTATAATATAGAATTCATATCAGGTTACTCTATTTTCAGAATGGTGATCAAATGTGTATAAATATAATGCTCAATTTAAATATCTACACAAATGAGAGGAAAATTGACATCAATCATGTTTAGAAATGAGAAATATTCTTCATTACAAATTCGTTAGAATTCAGTTTAATGAATGAATTTTACTTGACAACATATCACATTGTCCGCAGCATGAACTTATCAAACAGAAAAACGTGTCATCGTGTTTTGCTCAGTGACCGGTTGGTTGTGAAGTGTGATCGTAGAGTTTTAATTAAATATACGTTGAATAGAAATGACTTGTACTTGACGCCAGGAAACTCTCTTAATGAACAAGTAGTAAGAGCATTAGACAAGAATCGGAATTATGATAGTTCGTCATGGATGCTTTTTTTTTAGGTGACTCCAAAAAAGGAAATCTTGTTTGTCGCTATTACATAACCAAGGTAGTGAATTATTGGAATCAAATAGACTAAGTAAACCAATTACATTATAACAAAAACCTCAATTTTTACCAGGGGAAGCGGAACAGGTACGTCAGGTACAGCGGCTGCCATACAAATATTTTGACATGATTTTTTACAAATATAGGCCTATTTCTTTATGTAATCCTAGATTTAATTGTATTTCACCTTAGTCCTACTTAGAAGGAAAAGATAAGAGGAGATGTCCCATCAAATGTATAGATTTGGTCAAATGTAACCCACAATAGATGCTAGGCATCTTGACATATAAAACTTTGTTTCTAATACTTGGTTAAAGGACTTGCCTTCGTCTAGACCTAGGGACTTTCTTTTGGTAGGAGGTTGCTAGCCAATTCACCACCAAGATTCACAAATTCTCTCAGCTCCCTCGGATCTATGCATTTTTACTTACATTTAATCGCCGGAAAACTTTGTACTCAAGGAATGTAAGATGGTCAGCTAGCTCTGTGGGTTCCAAGTGGTTGAAGACTAGTGACACTTTGCGATTCCTACCACGCACAGGATTTCGCACAGACACTACACGCATCCAGTCATAGGACGGTCTAAAATAATCATAAAAGGTGAAAGGTCATGCACATGAAAGATACAGTGCTGCCAATAGGGAGCTTTCGATTGAGAATGCAACGAGAATGTAGCACGAGAATGTAGCATGGAAATGTAGCATGGATTCACTCATCTGTGACTGTCATTGCATATGTTCTTCAAATTTTAAGATGCATACATGGATATATCATGAAGGCAAAGACTGACGCACCAATGTTTAAATACAGTACAGTCCTTGTTCTCGCCTGAACGTAGATTCGGCTGACAACAACGCAACACACAACATTCACACATGCACAGTTAAATTAACATGACGTCATTACGTTGTACATTGTCGCAAATCCAAAGCACCCTAATATCACAAATACATACAACATACATGTAGAATAATACATGAAGTCACGTAATTCTGATATAATACAATACTTACATATTAGAAACATCAATAATGGTTATAAGTTGAGAATTTCCATCTGCTTGTAGAAGTGTTTGAAATTGTTGCAGTACGTTGTAAAGCTTCTTGTCCAAATCAAAATGAACTGGCCAGTTCAATATCCAATACCTGAAAGAAAAGAAAAATAAAAAGATGATGTTTTTTGAGAAACACTGTCTCCATTAAAGCAGGCTCCACAGGGAAAAAATTGATATGTTGTATACCTGATTCTTCTAAAACACAAAAAGGGTGTTTGTCAAAAAACTTGGGAACGGTTAATGATATACCGATTTCTGAATAACAAAAACTGGGGAAAAAGGAATGTAACCACCCTTATTTCCACCACCTCCCCCACCCCCTAAAAAAAATTTTAATATTCAAAAATATGTATCTAATTAACAATTCCTTAGTTTTTCGTCACACTCTTTGAGTCTTAGAAAAACTCGTTTGTCCAACATATCAAAAAATGCTTCGCCTCCAAAGCCTAGCTTTATGACTCAAATAGTCAGTTGACAGTGAAATTTTTCCTATAGATGAGCGGTGTAACACCTATGAGATGTCACCACTGGCTACTGCCAGAAGCCATGTTAAGGACCCCGGGACATAATTTCCACCTTTTTTTTTTTTGGACTATGGGCCCCTGATCAGCCGAGCGATACTCTTTACAGAGAATGTGTAAAAAATATGCCATTAAATATTTTAAAACGGTATCCCCCGTCCCCCTATGTTGTCCAAGGCATAAATAAAATGATCACATTGAATTTATCAATAAATGAGTGAATTTCAGCAAAATTAAATTGAATTACTAAACTCCATTTCCATAATCCTACTTGATTTGCAGTGTAGTATGATCAATTTATTGCATGTTTTAATGAAGCAAATTTCTATCATTCCTAATCAGTGTATGACACACATACATACTGGAGAAATTGTGTAAGTGTGCCATGACAAAACCAAGTGTCTGCACCACCAATTGCGTATCAAACCACTTAAACCCTTAAGAGCCATGTTATCTAAACACCATTAAAAATGTACGAGTTTATGACATTCATATTTGATAGATGATAGACACGTCGAAAAATGAATACAAACCTGTTAAGTATATGCTTAAACAAATTCTATATAATTGTTAAAGTGCAATGACTGTATCTTCAAAATAGATGTTAGTATAAAGCAAACAACAATCTGATAATAAGGAGATTGTATTATGCATCACAAAAAAAAAATCAAATATAAAGTACTATTGATAAAATGCTTTTATCAATATCAGCAGAACTTGTTTGTGAATAATTCCAAGTTACAAAATACGATTCCGTATTGATTTCAATACCAACTAAGTGCAAATGAAACACAAAGTATAAGTAATTAACATATAGCAAAATTTATTTAATACATAATGCATATTTACAATCTGCAGTAATCCAGGTAATAAGAATTGACATGCTATAACTCCATTCTGGAATCGACTTTTTAAGCATACTCTCTCCTATTTCCAAAGCAATTTTGTTTCAATGTTTAAAGAAATGGTTAATGTATTTTATTCTCCTGATGACGGATCGAGTAATCTCATCAAAACGTCGAGACAGCCAACGTTTTTCAAAGAACCATAATTCTACATGGTGTATCTAAAATTAGAGTCATTTATTAATATTTTTTGGGGAAAAAATCATCTAGTCTCATAAAGATATCAATGTTTTTACTTAGCAGGAATACCTTATAAAATATATTCTTTTATTTGAGGTTCAAATTTTGTATCATCTTTGTTAAATTCATTGGTCAATTTGAAAAACCACCATAAAAAATGCCTTGTATTATTTTATCATTTATGTATGAATTTCTGCTCTATTTTTACTATCTGTATTGTCGATCATATTTTAAATTGGTGCATCAGAAATGTTTTGATTTTTATTAAATTATTTCTAAGTGCCTAATATTATCAAAATCAACGTTATCATACTAAAGATTCTATTTTAAATTCATTCAAATTTATTGAAACTTTAAAACAAATAGTAATAAAAATAAATATTAAATAAATAATATATTATTAAAATTAGGCTAGAGTATGAAAATTATTTCAACTTACAGACTTGGTTTTTTTTAAATAAATCCATATTTAAATGGTTAAACAAATTAAAATACAAGGACTTTTATTTTATGGGAAAAAGTTAAAATATGTTCAACTTCAGTTATGTAAGAAGAACACAGAAGGATGAATTGGTACAAACCTAGTAACTACAGTGCATGTCTTACCTATAAAATGATTGATGTAGACGATGTAGTCTACGTATAAAATGACCTGATACACATACTAATGTTACATGTAGCCTTACATAAGGGTGATTAATATCGACTTAACTACATACTAAGGCATACGTAGGCTGATTGATATTAAAACACAGCCTACGTATAATATTGCATATAGGATTTACACATTCTGTACTAATGTAGGCCTATATTACAGATTCAATTTATTTTTGGGTAGGTGGAACGGTGGGAGAGAATGATAAGATTCTATTAATTTTCCAGGAAAAATTCATCTAACTCTAGGGGCCCTCATAAAGGAATTAAAACATGTTTGACAAGATTCATGAAAAACATGCGAATGAACTAGAAAAACATATACAAACCCATATAAGCTTTGAATCCTGACCAGACTATCAAATTTTCTTTGGCAAAAAACTGTTATATGCCCATATATAGTAATGATGCACCCATATATAGTTGTGATGTGCCTATATATAGTCATGTGATGTTATCATGACCATATTTAGGCACATCACATGTTACTGTTAAATTAAATGTGATAGCCTGGACAAAGCTTTAAAATTTAAATACAGTAAAGATCAAATAAGTGTAAGTGTTACATGGCATTAAGAACATTTTCCCAAATCACTATACATTTGAAACAATTAACTATAAAAATAATTTAATTTATCTATTATAAACACTAAATATAAAACCTTCAGAAAGCAAAAAGAAAAGTAACAGGGAAAATGTTTTCTATAATTAACAGATAAGATAATATTAAAATTCACTGGCATCAAAAACAATTAACACAAGAGCGCTGCTCACCAGTCCATGCGTTCATCCACGCTTAAAAAAAGGTACAGACGCAAGTTATTATATTGGGTTTTTTGGAAGAGCTAATAAGATAGAAATTTTTAAACAATTAGGATATTTACTTGTACAATAGAAAATTATTACTTAGAGTGTTCATTTGTACAAAATGTCTTAAAATTGAAAAGAAAAAAAATTGAATACCAAAAAAACGATTCAAATTTACAACCTTAAGTTCTTTAGAAAACATCCTAACAGACTGCTTAGTTTGATATTATTTTATTGGTTTGAAGGTTTTCTCTCTTTATAGCTGATGTAACAATTTAAATTATTTCGGAAGAATTTAAATACATTTTGAAGTGTTTTTGTAGTTAAAAACAACCGTTCATAATGACGTCATTGCTGCAAATTCGGTTCGTAAAATCGAGGTTCGTAAATGGAAGGTTCGTAATATGGAGATATTACTGTACTGACCCAGTACTGTATTAGAAATCCATCATAAAAACCAAAGGAGTAACCCAGGGTTTCAAACAAAGTTTTATAATAATAATAATAACAATAATAATAACAATAATAATAATAACAATAATAATAATAATAATAATAATAATAATAATAATAATAATAATAATAATAATGTCATCTTATTAGGCGCACGTATCCATCTCTTGGCAAAGCTGCTCGCGGCGCCGTTTTCCACCTACAGAGTGTACATGTAGCCTGTAGCCCTTTTTGTGCATTACTATTTTTTGAATTAATTTATTTATTTTATTTTAATTATTTATTTATGGTGTGCATGAGGTGTGTATGCATGTGTGTGCGCACATGTGTATACGTGTGTGCGCACATGTGTATACGTGTGTGTTCACATGTGTATACATGTGCGTGTAGTTGTGTGTGATGTACAGGTGACATGGTAATCTGTGGTAGCAATTAAATGAAGTACCTGTACATCAGTCTTAATCTTAACATTTGCCTTGTATACACAACTCAATCGTCAATCTTAATCATTCAATGTCAATTTTATTCCATGCTTTATCTGCCATTAACAACTAATTAATTCAATCTTCAATGTTTGAGTCATTATATTCAACTTAATATTCAATTTCTTTACAATCAATCTCAACCATTTTATACTCATAGCCTGTAGTATGTAGTATACAAATTTATTTGTATACTAATTTTACCAGAAGCATATCTGGGGGGAGGGTAATGTGTGCATGGATGAACATCAGCACATTCCCCACCCCCACCTTCCCCCACCAATTTAAGACTTCTAGATACGCCATTGAAATTTACTACTTACTACAGAGTATTAACAGATATGATCTACTGTATGAGACTTTTTGCTTTAGCTTTTGAGATGTGGGTGTGGAGAAGATGAATAAAGTTTGTTGGATCGACAGAACACAAATTAATAGGTGCTGAAGATGAATCAGAGGTGGGTTAAATTTTTTTTTTGCTGGAAGTGGCATGAGCGGCAAATCCAGGACCAAATGGGAACTTTTGAGAGGGAGGAAGGTTTTTGGCGTGTTCCCTTGCTTATTGTGGGGGTCAAGGGGCATAGCTTCAGCGTTTTCAGTCATTACAAATAGGTATTAGAATTGGATTGGGAAGAGAGTTTATTGAAAAATTCATTTAAAACCTTGAATTACTCAATTAAAATCGTAAATTTATCAACTTTCAATGCATAAAAAGGCTTAAATTGATTTACCAGTCTTTGCTAAAAATACTAAAAACATAGAAATAGTATTATTTATATGCCCCATTTAACAGACATAGTTCTATAGAGCTCTATAAATATCTCTATTTAGATAGATATTTCTATTTAGAAAGATAAAGCTATTTGTATTTAAAACTAAAATATTTTGGATTATATGAGAGACTGGCTCAACAGTGTGTGTACTACACTACCTCAGACTAAGTACCTTGGTTACCAACGTTTAGATGTATGCAATACTCATCATGTTCAATGTGGTCTGTTAATGCGTATGTATGCTTTTTTTTTGTGAAGCACATTTTGAATCAATTTAGATACGCAAGTGGATTTTCAATAACGACGTGATGGAACAAAACGTGATAAAATAAAAATATGGAACGTGATGAGGATAATCTTCAGAAATTAAAAATTTAAATAATAACATTAAAAATAATATTGACAATAATATCAAAAATAACAGTAGTATTTTAAAAATATAAAAAAATAAAAATGGTATTGCTATTCAAATTTGCATTTCACATGGAACGTAATTCATGTAAACAATGAAGGTCGGTATAAGTCTATTCAACTTTAAATTGAATGTTTATCCAATTAAAAAAAAAATCTAATTTTAAAAACAGGTCATATATCACATCATTAAAATCAGACAATTATAAAACATTATGGGTATATAATTGGTACTTTGGTATGACAATAATTCCTATACACCAAAGTACTAATTATAGGTACATGATTATAGTACAGTACTTTGGTATGGCAATTTTGTCCTACTGATTGCTATATGTCTGGGTCACCGAGCATTTGAATCCCTCTGAATATAAGTCATAAAATGCTGTGTACAGATTTGTTAAGTAAAAACATATTTCGGTAGAGAGCACCCTTCCCATAAAACCTTTTACTTCTCGGTACTCCACCTTTTGTTTGGCCGATTGAGTCAGCTAATTTCGGCCTTGAGTCGATCTCCCTCCCTCAACAAATGCTGCCTCCAAAAGCTACTAATTTTAATCATACCCCCGGCTTTTGCCTGGGAAAAGCCTGGTATGAAAAATTGGGTGCAAATTAGGGGGTGGGCTTGTCCTTGAGATGGGCTTATACCTGAGAAGCTATGGTACACCATCCTATATTAAATGTACGTAACACACCTATGGAACACATTAGTCTGTCTTAATGCGCCCAGAACACCTAGATAAACACATCAGTCGATAAGTTTCTACTTGAATAATTTTATAAGCTCATTTCAAGATTGGATTGTATTTCTTTGGTGTGAAACTCGAAGGATTTCAAAGCCATATTTTCAGTGGGTTCCTTTTAACAGTAGACAACCCTTCCCCCTCTAACTCTGCTTATTTCCAAACAGTATACTACAGACTTTAGTATGCACATGAGTTCATTTAACAAGATCTATTTTTAAAATGAATATTCTGGCAATTTTATTTAAGTCACTCTAAATGTATTTTAACTATGCTTTTATATGGGAACTGCCAAATAAACACAAAAATCAAACAAAATCTCCTGGCAGTGGCTTGCTTGGGATGCTTGCAATTATTAAATGTAGTATTAACTAGAGTAGTCACTCGACAGAGTGCATACCTCCACCTTGTACCTTAATACAGTACCGACAATATCCAGGCCATGTATAATAGTCGAAACTGCAGCATATCCTCAATGAAATAATAGAATCACCCGTTGTATTCAGGCACATTTTCTTGAGTGCTGTAGCATACCCTCAAGAAAATATTGGAATCGCCCGTTCAGGCACATTGTTTTCCAGAGTGCTCCCTGAAAATGAGGGGCTATTCCATTAAGTTATTTTGTTTTAAGCGAGGATAAAAAAATCTAATTTCTGTGACCCTGACCTTGTCTTTTAACCTTTCTACTGAAAATTGAATGGTGTCTTTCTTTGATTATTATGTACTATTCCACTAAAGTTTATGAGGATCTATTCATTCGTTTTTGCGTAACTTTGCTAACAGACAGATAGACAGACAGACAGACAACCCGACAGACAGCAGTAAATACATAACCTCCTTGGCGGAGGTAATAAATATAGAATTGATAAATGTATAACTGAAATTGTGTGCTGCGTAGTTCACAGTACAGTAATAATTTAAATTGCACTAAAAACATTTGCATGCGCACAAAAGAAATCTAATCAGAATTTAATTTGCCACCAATTAGGCCTAGCCAAGTAGTTTGGTCATTGATATGAATAGAGATTATCCCATTAGCAAACTCATAGTAAACTACTTCAATTAGATTAGCCTATTAGCATCCATCACAGGGTTTTAGCAAAACGACCAGCTAAAAACCACTCATTTTATCACATATTAATGTTACCATGGCGACGAGCTAAAAGTCAGGTCAAGGTAATAAATGGTCAAATAAAATATCAAAGTCATTAAATTGAACAATGCACATGAATTATGAATTGAAAATTAGCTTTAAATCTAATTGAAAAATTAATATTGAAAACATAAAAAATATTTTTTTTAATAATTTACATACATTTAGAAGTTAACTTATTATTATTGTATATTAAATTTATACAAAGCACCAATATATGACATAATTTTGAAGGTTACATCAAATTTATATACTACTCAATATAAATATTTAATTTTCTATACAATAAGTCTTCTAATAAGCATATCTAGGGGAGTATTAAAAAAAGCACTTTCCCAAAAGCCCCCCCCCCCATCCTAAGGGTTTGAAATAATAAGTCATGCTCAAATAGTTAAAAATTACCTATTATTACCTAATTTTGAGTTCAAGTTTAGTATAGCAGATATTCATTCATTCAGTGTCCATTGTAGAGATATGCTATTAGTTCAATTATGGTATTCCAAAAACCTTGTCAACTTTTTGTGTACTGTTTTATTTTCAACTTATATTTTAATGTCATATTTCTTTTAGTCAGGTCTTTGCCTCTTTCATTGTTTAAGAATGTTAAAATGTAGTTGTACAATTACCTTAAACATTAAAAAACTAAAATAAAGTAGAAAATAATTTTTTTGTTAAAAAAAGCAATGAGCTCAATTAGGATTTGACATTGTTTTTCATTGGGACCTTCGTCCCTTCAAGGCTAGGCCTATACCATCCTAGCTAGTCTAGGCCTAGAGTAGGATAAGGCTAGCGCGACATGCGGACGTTGGTACGAGTAGGTTAGTCTACAAACGTTGCCTAAAGTAATTGATTTTACCCGGCAGAACGAAAGAAGGAAACTCCGCTTTTCAGTTGTCTTAGCCACTCGTTTTTTGACAATGACCTTTCAGAGGTCAAATTGCTGTCAAGAATATGAATTGGCTGCTTCGCAGCAATAAAGTAGAAAATAATTTTTTTGTTAAAAAAAGCAATGAGCTCAATTAGGATTTACACCTCACTACTGGTCTTCGTAGCCATTTTGTCCATAGTTGGTTTGAATTTATAGAACACTAACAAATTTAGAACTTCAATGAGTAATTTTATTTGACTTACATTGTTCTCTCGACCATGCACTGCTCTTCATCAGGTGAATGTGGCAAAATAAATCTCTTTATGTTTATGCTTATAATATGTTTATATCGCCACTTTCACCAGTTGCACCTATTGTAAATGTGTACTGGTTGAATAAATAATTAAAATGAAACTAGTTGTATGTAAGCCTAAGTAGTTTTTAAGTATCGTATATACAGTACTCGCGTGTAAGGCGACCCTCGTATAAGACGACTCCCAAGTTTGAGAAGATTTTTGATCAATTTTTGTATGTCGGCCGTATAAGACGAACCCCGTTTTATCGTCGGAATTCCTAATTTTTTCGGCTTTTTATGGTCTTGATACTGAATCTAGCTGGCTAAAAACCCAGCCAAATGCAAGGCTAATCATCCAAAATAATAATATTTTTGTTTTTAAATGTTCATCAAAATCTTATTTTCCCCTATTTTATAATTGTGTTCATTCATTCTAACATTTAGTAGCTTCATTACAATAGTAAATTCGCATGTTACGTATGATCCGCACATAAGACGAACATGTTTTAATAAATCTAAAATTTGTACATCGTGCAGATAAGATGACCCCCTCTTTTTCGCCGGTAATTTGCTATTTTAACTCTCGTACTATAGATATCGGTAGGTACTTTATTTACTATAACAATATAATAATTGTGTTTTTACCTTATTGCATGACATATCCTCCTCCTGTAGCTGAAGGCGTGGCAATCCTCGGCCGCTGCATTGTGCAAACAAGATGCCTTGCTACAATGACTTTTATTGCTGGACTGATATGTAAGAAAAGTTAAGGAAGTGATCCTACATTTATATTAATCTTAAATATATCTCTCTTACATATATACAGTATTATATATATCTATATTGATGTTAAATATATATATCTTGTATTTTATGATCCTGTAAAGGGTGATACCGCTGTTGGATGTAGTTAAAATAAGATAAAATAAAGTATTCTAATGCTAATATAATTGTAATTGTACCTGTTAAATCCTACTAATTTTTTAAATAATACAATTAACTGATGAAAAACAAGGTGTTTTTAATATAATCGTTAAGAAAAAAATATTATTACTTTAACTGCTCATCAGTGGTACTAGTGAGAAAATTAAAATTGGCATGATTTAATGAAAAAGATAATGTAGTGCTCTATGAACTATACATTAGTATTAATAATACTGAGTTTTATGTTGTTTTTTTTTGTAGTGTAGAAAAAATAAGGAAGATTTGCTGGTATTCAGGACCCTGCTTTCTGATGGTGAACAATTTAATCACTGAAACTTACGTTGGTTGTATAATTACACATAATAATAAAAGGCAATAAATAAAAATGGCAATGCAGAAGAAGTACCACTGAAAATGGCAAACAGTATATGCACTTTTTCTATAAGAACACAGAGGCAGAAATTGCTTAAAAAATAAGCCAGCAGAATTAGGTATAATAAGCATATAATAAGCACATAATACTATAGTGTGAATATGTACTATCCTCGGAGTAGGGCATATAGTAACATACTGGTATACAATAAAAATTGTGTATCTCTGAAAAGTATGTAAACTATGAACATAATAAAATATTTTGAGCCTGAAATTGGCAAAAATGATAAGAACAGGGCAAAAATTTACTGGTTCTTATAAAAAATAATTGTATGAAAACTTAACAGAGCAAATTGATACAAAGAAGTACTAGTCATAATTGCAATTACAACAAAGTATGAAACCTTTGTATAAACTTAAAATTATAGTAATTATTTTATTTGGTTTCACAACAAAACAGATAATTTCCTACTATTTTATTTTGATTTATTTTTTATTATGACCACTGTACATGAATCCAAGGCCCTGGCCAAGTGGTACCTCCTTGACCTATAAGAGATTCTTCACATTTATTTCTTTGTCAGCCTTTACGAAAAAAATAGCAATCTTTGTTGTTGACGAACTATCGAACGAAGTCCAGTACTGTGCACTGAACATCTTCATATTAATTTGTAAAACGAACACCACACAAAAATTCTGTAGGCCTATTGTAAATTCAGTTCATTCATAATTTAGTTAATACAGTTTCAAGATACAAGATTCAAGAACTTTTAACGGTCTTTACATTAAAAATATAGAAATTTGTTTTGGTGGAGAAAATTACACTGTTTATATTCAGTTTTCAATTTTGGTTAATGATTTGATGAGCTTGAAAACATCTCTGAGAAATTTACATTCCCAAGTAATATACACTCAGTCAGATACTGGTAAAAATTAACCAAGGCATAATTAAAAAGTTAAATTAAATAGTCAAAAAATTAATACAATATATTAAAAAACTATTTAAAAAAATACCATTCCTTAAAAACTATGGTAAATGAGTATTTGATCTATATTTTTTTTAAAACAGTGAATTTAGTAACTTTTAAAGACAATATAAAATCCAAAGCCCTGTTCAGACATCAAATATTATTTTTTAAAATGTGACATGCCTAAATATGGTCATGATGACATCACATCATAACCATATATAGACACATCATGACTATATATGGGCACATCATTACTATATATGGGCACATGACTATATATGGGCACATCATGACTATATATGGGCACATCATGGCTATATATGGGCACATCATGACTATATATGGCATATCATGACTATATATGGGCACATCATGACTATATATGGGCATACAACCAAAAACTATTTGATAGTGTGGACAGAGCTTTGGTTTATTTTTCTTTTATCTCGAGATACGCCTGTCACAAATCAAGATTTTTTATGATGACCTTTGCCGTACGACCTTTGCCGTACTTGTTCGTAGTTTTATCCTGCATCACAAATTAACATCTGATACATCAATTTTTTTTCTCTGCTAATATTTGACATTTATGAATTAGGTGTACTCTATGAGGTTAATGATCTTTACTTTTTTCTTTTTTTTTAAATAGTAATAAATAAAGAAATCATGAAACTTGACAATTATATATTTTATTATTTTTTTAGTATTAATAATTATGGTATAAAGTTGTTCATATGGGCAGTTCCTTTTTCCTTTATGATGTCATTGACAATTGCAAGTGAAATTAATATACTTAATAGAATTGAAAGTATATTTCTTATGCTAATAACCAACGGAATTTTGGAATTGTACAGATATAAAGAGGATGCACTTATATATAGGGACAAATGTCAACATCAGCTAGTGGAATAGAGCACCATAAGTTTGAAGAGACGGTAATATACCATAGTTCGTCAGGAATAAGACCAACTCAGATATAAACCCACCCTCGACTTCATGTCCAATTTTAGGTATAGGGTATGACTTGAATGAGTAGCTTTAATAGCTGAGTTTTACAAATACTTAAAAATAAAATTTGGATTTGAATCAGACATGTGGTGCTGAAATTTTTTTTTATTGAAATGGGGTTTCCCAGATATTAGGCCCAATTTTGTGTTAAAGGGTGTGGTGGACTTACTGTACATAAGAGGAACAACACTACATTAAAAAATTCTGCAATAGAGTGATTTAGCGATGATTGTTTACAGGCGGTCATGTGACCTAACTTGGGTATACATGAAAAACATTACAGTGCGATAGCATAGGAAAAGAAAATGTTATGGTTGCGAACACCCACTGTTAACGTACTGAAAAGTGAATGGCTAGGAAAGGCAATACGATTGTTCAAAATAGTGTTTATTTTCCTAGCGTTCTCCTTGGATTGTATGCTTTGAAATTCAAGTGATCCTTCATAAACTTTAGCTGGCCCTAACATTGCAGTGTAGTTAGTGGGTTGAAGACCATCATGCATACCATGCCATAGACATGCAGGGGCCTAGGCCTAACATTTGTTGAAAAATCTCAATGTTTGCGGACAGTATCCTTTACAGCATTAGCAAACCATTAAGGCAAAATTCTTAAGTTTAATTTCCAATCAATTTGGTATAGTTTACTGGGAATTATGATGATCTTTACAGCAAATAAAAAACAGACGGCCGCAATAGCAATCTCCATGGAAAACACCGCTGTGTCAGTGAATTGTTTATATCAAACACCTAAGTTAGGTCACGTGACGCCCATCGCTAAATTCCTCTATTGAAGTGTTTCATTACTTAAGCCAAACAGGCCAGAGTTCACATGGTTTCTATAAATAGGTCATAAGGTGGCTATTAAAAATCGGTCATCAAAGTAATGCTAGATATCATGTCGTTTGTCGTTTTGACATTTTCAGCAAAGGATATAGTTGGAGAAACTGCGTTGCTAGTTCTTCTGATAGCATAAACCACTCATGCATCAAAAACAGCACTCGAGGAAATGAAGAATCATCTATTACTTTCCCGGCATCATCTATTTTTTAAAATAACAAAAACATATATAAAAATTCCAGTATATTTTTATATAAAACTGTGTAAATATATATATTTATTTCTTTATTGCATATTTGGCACAGATATATCACAAATCAGGGAATGGGTTGTGTGGGGTTGCCAAGAGGATACCATGGACTGAGAGCCCAACACAAGATGTGGGTATCGTCTAAACCCCCTGGCCAAATAAACATACAATGAATTACAAAGATGATACATCAGGTTTCAAAAAATCCATATTGTTTAACTTCAAATTAGTGACTTTACTTTTAAAGATGTATTGTGCATGAAAATCATAAAAAAATAATTTACTTGCTCATTTTGCAGTAACAAATAGCATACAAATTATTAACTTGAGCATATAAATTATTTAATTTAACAAAATGTGTACTCTATGTTTCTATTATTTTTCATTGTAAAATGATGGGTAAACATTTTTTCAAATACACTAACTTCTAAGTTTATGTTGATAATTTCCAATTTACTTCAAAATGGGCAAGTTAATTTCAAAAATGATTTTCATGATTTTTTGTTTGTGTTTTGCATGGGACATCATACATCATTATGACTGATAATTTTCTGAGATCAGTCACCTTTAGAAAGTGTATAATAATTATGTTTTGTATGTTTAATAATCAATTTCTGCATTTAACTTTTGCTTTTTTATGATGCACCGTAATGTGTAATTTATATTAATTGTAAATAAGGTATCTCATGGCCATAATGAAAAACAGCTTTATATTTGTTAATTTGTGCTTCATGAATAAATAAAGTTTTTTACGACTAAAGTTATTTAAGCTCTTATATTATATAATTGAGGAATTGATCAATATTCAGTTGATCAAAATAATATATCATAAACTGATAGAGAACATGTGACCTCTCGCCATGAAGTGGGTGTCATACCACTAGACCACAAAAGCCGCATGTTATATCACACAATCAATCCAGCCAGTCCACACTCTCGCACACTTGATTTAAATACTAAAATCAACAAGTATAGAAACTGCAAGATGTCTGACTTGGGTTTTTGTTGGAATGTAAATCCTAACTAAAAAAAAGTGCTATCACAAAAGGGTGTCCTTCAACAGAACGTAGTAATAGTGGTAGTAATTTTTTTAATGTTTCATTGCATGCATACAAAATCAGGGCAGTCAGACCTCTTGTAATTTTTTATTCTTTGCTAACATGTAGATCAGTAGTTTAATGCTACTCAAAAAAACATTTACATATTATATTAAAATAATATGTTGTTTTATATAAATATATTAAATATAGAAATAGTAGGGCTTTATTGCTAAATGCATAAACTCATATTGACTCACAGGCAACATGGCTCAGGATGAGCCACTTGGTATCTAGACACCAGCATAAAATTACCCATAATACCTTTCTGATCATTAAAATTCTCGGGCTCATATGAGTTCATCAAGTGGGGATAGAAAGACAAACATAATACTGAAATTACATTCTTATAGCGTATATAATGACTTGTTAGTCTTGCCTGAGTTGTATTCTGTATCTCTTGATCTAGCTATCACCTAATTCCTCTGACCTCTCTTTTTAATCTAATTGTAAGCAATGCGCTAGCAGAGTTCAACACACACTCAGGTATACGCGATTACTGTAGGCAATTTGTATTAAACAATCATTTATATTAATGTCTAAATCAAATCATTTTACTAACGAAAGAACTGCATGATATACTGTATAAAACAGAATGCTATTATTAAGCCATGGCATATAATATCAAAATTGTATATTCCTGACTAGGCAATACTCTTTCAATACCTTGTTTAGCAAATTTATTTTTTCAAGATTGTCAAAGAAGGGCAGAAAAAAATAAAATTTTCTTTTCGTGGAAAAAACAATTTTGCCAAAAGCATCTAAGTGGAGGAGAAAATAAACACATTTTATAGATGAATGTAAACAGTGCAGTAATGAGTTAACAAAGAAATAATACATATCTTATTTTCCTGAGATCTCAGGGGATCAGAGGGAATAATACAAATAAAATAACAAATTAAATTTTTTTCTGAAATTACCATTATTGGTGGTCGTAGGGTTTGCTAAACAAGGTCTACATTTTACTATTTTGTTACTCAAGTTTTCCTTTTTTTTTTACACTTTTATATACTTACAATTACTTGCAATATAATTTTATTCATAAATGTTAATGTAATTATCAACAACACTGGTTAGATTTCATTGTGGTTAGCAAGAATAATTTGCTTTCTTTTCATTTACATTGTAAAACATAATAAACTATAGACAGTCGCTCCATAGAGTGTATGCCTCTACTCTGTGCCTGAATACACTACCAACCAATACGCAAGCTGTGTACAATGGACGAAACTGCAGCATACCCTCAAGAAAATAATAGAATCACCCGTCATATCCAGGTGCATTATTTTATTGGGGGTTCATGAATACAAGGGGCAATTCCATTACAAACAGACAGAAAGACAGACAGACAGAATACATGACACAGACAGAGAGCAGTGAATAGATAACCTTCTGGGCGAGGTAATTATATGAAAGAGTGTACTATGCAGTGGCGTATCCAAGGGGGAGGGAGGTTGCGTGGGAGGGGGGTGCAAACTGAATTTTGTACATAATACAAGACCATGTTTTGCAGAACGCACAAAATAATGAGAAGACTCATACATTACATTATTATACATCATATTATCACTTTATAATTATTTTTTTAATAGTTGTCCAGAAGTTTTTAACAATTCTACTAAAGAATTTAGAAAATTTATATGTTGATTAATTGTTCTACTATTAACTCTTTATTGTGCTTTTATATTTATTTTTTGTACTTTCTTCTAGCAAAGTCATGTGTAAACATTTTTGCTTAACTTTTCATTATTCTTTGTATCTTTGTCATCATTTTTATGTTTCTTGCCTGTGCCTGCTTCTTCCTCTTATTTTCCATGTCTTTTCAACCTGTAAGTGGTTATTTACTTTCGCTGTTGGTTTTGATTTGAAATAAATAAATAAATATAAATATAAAAAATTTAATAAAAATCATAAAACAGCTTCGTTTATCAGACTACAATACTAAATTATTATTAGTCAAATGCAAATATATATATTTTATTTTAAAAAATAACTGCTTTGAACTGCATGTTTCAGTAGGTCAACTACAATTATTTAAAATGACTGAAAATGTGTTCGTTCCCATCCACTGTTAAGTGTTTCTGCACACGTGTTTTAAAGTGACGACTTGTTTCGCTGACATAGCAAGGATTACAGATTGCACATACAAATTTGTAAACAAATTTGACAGAAAACAATTTTTTTTTTTAAATGAAAAAAAAAAAATTAACTTACATCATTCCAATACTGCGTGCATAAGGAACAAATCCTTTAAGTTTTACACATAAAATTTTAAAATAGAACGTAGGGGTAGTTGTATTGTCCGGTCTTGTTTTTGAATTTATACGGTGCCAGAAAAAATTATTAATATACCTAAAAATAATTCTTTCAATAATAAATAAAGGAAAAATGTTTTTCTGAGAATGGCTGTAAAATGCATATGTCATTAGGAAATCCGATCCAAGTATTATTAATTTTAAATGTCCTATCAACAAGTGTGCATGCAGATGAGGGGAATTATCTACGGTTGTCTCTCTCCACTCCACACAACCATGCACTGATGATTACAGCTGTAATATTACGGAATTCTCCCAGGGGACCCGAGAATGTGTTCCATATCCCCTTGATCCAATGACCGAGGGTATGCTAAGCGCATAGAAGTCTCTTTAATATGTGCTATATAAAGTCAACGATTATTATTAGGCCAAATAAAAAAAAAATTTTTGTATTGGCTACGCACAAAGAACAATAGTTTTTTTTCATGAGCTAATATTAAAGGCTGGAATACACTTGGACTAGGCTAGGGGCCAAGGCCTAGCCTATTTTGATGTATGGTACGTGATGCGAATCCAACATTTTTGTATTATTTGTGTATTCTCTACCTTTCAAGCCAAAACACATTTTTGGTTAAAAAAAGAAAGTTTTCCTACCGACCTACCGATTTTCCCAAAACCGTGGCCAACACAAAAATTTATTTTTTTTTGCCTTATTATTATTAAAATTTATTTGTGTTCTGCTGTTACATCGAACATTTATATATCTGTCTCTTATACACATCTAGATGTGTATAAGAGACAGGCATGTTTCAACTCAACTGACTGTAAATTTGTAGATTTTATTTTAACAGATTAAGTGGAAGCTTGCAAAGTTAATTTGACAAAAAACTTAACAAGGAAACACATTCAGTCTCCGAAGACAATTCTAATCATCTAGACGGCATTACGAACGTTGACTCTTATTATTGACATCATGCTGTACTTATTTTGGTGTTGTATGGATTACAATGGCTATGGAATTGTGTAGTAAATACACATACTGAGTTTCAAAGGTGAGTAACAGATCGAGTCTGTGAATAATTTAACATCGCAGAAATGGGAACACTTTGGTGAGAGGTTATTCACATTGTAAGAAGCAACCTGAAGAAAACTAGCCTTTAGGAAATCTTAATAGTGGAAAAACCAGCATTGAAGAATCTGGCTAATACTCATAAACAAATCATCATCATTATCATCATCACTATTGGCATCATCACTATTAACATCTTCGGCATTATTACTATTATCAACCGAGGAGCTCACTTGCATACCAACCAAACAGGGGGGTGCCGCAGCCACTTCAAGACATGAGACACTTGTGCTACCTATTTTAAAAGACGACAGGAAAAAGGCCACTCAATAGTGCCAGAGAGGTCGCAATATTTACTGGTTTCCGATGACAAAAAGTTTTGCGTCCGGTCGCGATCTCGTGGCTATACCAAAGGTAGGCTTAGCAAGGGGCTTAGCACCCAGTCTAGCTTGACATTCCCACTAACATCGTGCGGAAAATCGTGGCACTTTGACACAGAATAGGCCAGGGACTTTAACTACCAATTTCACCCCGGTTATTTCCCACGTTGTGCTACAAAGTACAAACCATAAATGCTGCAACTTTCTCCATATTTCCCACACTTTTGCTACCAGGTCCTTGAAAATATACTCCATAAATTCAGCACTTCTCCGTATAGAAATATTTAAGAGTGAGACCCCCGGTTTTCATCAGCATCAACATCATTATTGTTATCATCGGTATTATCATCATCATCATCAGCATTATCATTGGGTCGAGACTGCTCTGGAATGACTCGATTATACCATCTAGCATCATCCTGCATTGGAGTCTGGAAGATTGGTGATTTTTAACTAAATTTTTTTAATAAGGGGGGGGGGGGGGGGGGATGTGTGCGACTAGGAGATGCAAGTATTTTTTTGCCCCCTCTAGTAAAATATCTGTAAATCAGTGGAAATTATTTGAATTTTTGCGGTATTTCCCTGTCTTTTTGACTGACAGTAGATCTTTAATATAATTAATATTATTGCTAAATACTCACCAAAGCATTCTACACAAAGCTCAGCAAGCTTATCAATAGCGGCAACTTTGACGGACAATCCCGGGAAAAGTACTTTGTCTTCTTCCATAGACTCGCTATAAGTTGAAGATGTGGATAACTTCTTTCTCCTCGTAATCATACTATCCAGTGTCATGCTTCCTGTGTAGAACAACAAATCAACATCTTAATTACCTTCCTCTGTGGCCTGTAGCAAAATGTAATTTACCAGCTGAAGAAAAATAACTTTTTAGTTTCAGTTGCGATTTCAATCATTTATTAATCTACTTTCTATTATGTACCACCGGAAGTTCCGCATATCACTCCCTAATTTTCAAGTACATAATTAATCTTCTGATCACTATTAGGAATATGAACATCCTTGGCAATCCAGTTTGCAATTGGGTCTCATGTAGCAAATATCAGGACTAGAATTTCAGAAACAATGTGGTCGCAACATACTTTTTATAGGATGTTGACAACCGAGTGCAAAAAGAATGAATGAATGAATTAATGGATAAGATGCTAAATTGATAAACGGATAAATGGGTTGATAAATTGATAAATGAATAACACAATAAATTAGGGAATTAACAGAAAAATGAAAAAAAAAATTGTTTTATAAAATGATTGGGATGATGAGCAATTGGATGAGTAAATAATTGGGTGGATAGATAGATGAATATATATATATATATATATAATGAATGGATTGATTGATAGAAGAAGGAATGAATCTGTATGGATGGATTAATGGATTGATTTATTGACTGCTAGAAAGATAGATGGATGGATAAATAGATAAAAAAAATGGATGGATAGATGGATGAATGAATTGATGGATGGATGAATGAATAAATGGATAGATGGATGGACAGATAGATGAATTGACGGATGGGTGGATGATGAATGATTCTAATAATTATTAACTATGGCCTAATAAAATGATTTTACAAAGAAATGCATACTTATGATTTATGTCAATATTTTGTCATTACAAAAATGACGAAAAACAAGTGTTTCTTGGCTTTTACTTTTTGGTAGGCTAGTAAGATACTTGTACCCTAATTACTATTGTGGGTTGTGTACCGACAAGACCTCATTCCGTGACTACAAAATACTGGCAAAAAATACAAACTGCTCTGCTTGATAACTCTTTGTTTCTATTTTTTTAAAGCAACTTGAAATGTATATAATCGCTATAAATTTCATATTTATTATTAGATTATTTATGCTAATTAATGCTGCATAGTAAAGAATAATTTTCCAGTATACTAACAGCTCACAGAACACCTTTAAGGCAAGATATTACGTTGATTATAGTGAAATAATGATAATGTGGGGTCGTTTTTTTTGTGTTTTTTTTTTCCTTGATGATGCTGCAAACTAAATCATGGAACATTTGTGACATACAAAAATTATGACTACGTATTCATTTCTCTATGCTTAAGTCAATATTTCCCAGGTATGCCCGTATTTCCTGGCATGGTGCCAACTCATACAATGCATTAAAATTGGAAAAGGGACGACGGCATCTATACACTTAAAGTGGATTGCCTGAAGATCGCAATTGCAGTCATGTGTGCTGAATACCATTATGATCTAGCTAGCTCATCAAGATAGAAATGATGCAACATGTGCATTCTAACCAATCACATGATGGCTCTCATGATGTTTACATATTTAAATGGATGAATTATAAAATTATTAATTCATCAAAAAGCACTTTATTGCACATATACAATAAGGGAAAATATACACCAATCCTTGATCATTACCTAGAAGGGGCACATGCAAGGAGTAATGAAATAAAACATCAACTAAACAATAGAAAAAATGGGAATTTAAAATAGTAAAAATCATTACAATCTTATTTAGCAATGTTTAAATTTCTGAATTTATTTGTGGTTCTTTTGGTGTTTTTACAATGCTTTTTAAATGCTGATTTTCCAGCATTTGAAATTGTTCCATGTTTTTTGCCAGTGGAAAAAAGAATTTCCATTTTACATGTGTTTAATGGACAAATGAAGTTTGATATGATTTAGTCATTTTTTAGTTTTAATTTTTAATCATTAATTTAAGTAGGATATTATGTTTGGTATCAATGGTTGAGAGATAACCCATGTAAAAAAATACTTGTACCTTGGTACCGATAATGATGTCAACTTGATAAATTAATCTTCGTTTCCATATCTAATTTAGAAGTACACACCATTTATATGAATGTACATCTGGATAATAACTTGATTTATAGGTGCGCATTTTAGATAAAAAGGTAAATTGATAATGATGGAATTCCCAGAAATACGAATACATTACATCTGTGTGATATGGTTAGACGTACGCACCATAAATGGACGTACGGCTGCGTACATATATAACATTACGATTGGCGTACATTCTAGGTTAAATAACAATGTCGCAAGAACCGAAGAATTCCATGAAGAATGAATACATTACAAATATAATCACCGTAAGCCGATATGAAAATGTAAAATGAGGGAAAATGGCATTTTACAATATGAAATATTCTAGTATCACCATTGTTTTTGTTCTAGATTTTTAATGCAAGAAAGTTCAAAAGACAAATACCTTCAATAATTACCATTAGCACGTTATTAGTATTATCATATTGAACTCTGAACTTAACTATCATAGACATTCAGCAATTATGCTATTAATCATCAGCATAATTATTTTGTGCTATTTATTGATAATTTCCTTTTGCAATAACAATAATGTTTTTAATGTGTAAACCACACACTCAAAATACCTAATTTCAGACAAATTACATTTTGTTAAACCT